TACCCTTTCCAGTACCACGTTGGCAAGCACCCTCCTCAACTGCTCGCCAGCGCAGATGACGCCGGCTCGCCGCCCCGCCCTATCGACGCGCTCGTCGACCGTCAGCAGCTAAACATGGCTACAGCTACCGTATACAGCGGCATCGGATTCACGCCTCCTCGCGCAGATGGGGTGCAGGAGCTGCCGGCGGAGACACCGAAGAACGAACATGTACAACGGCGGGGCCAGGAAGGCTGCTGACATCGGGCCCACGGCTTGAGGGAGGAATGGTACAGGGAAGGATATGGCCTGAGGGACGCGTTAGCAGCCCCTCGGTTACCTGAATACACGTATGTATGCCTATGACTTGGTGTGTCTTAAGCACTTGGCCTGACCACGGGAGAGGGCCACATCATGGGGTTGAACACAACATGCGATGAGAGCATAGCATGCCTGGCAGGCGGGAAGAGGGCGAAGAAGGGAGGGAGGGAGGTCGAAGGGCCTGTGGGAGCCGTGCAGCGTGCTCTGCTGCTGGGTAACATCTAGCTGGGTAGGTAGGGCCACAGCCCAGAGGAGGGTAATGGCTCAGGTGCTACCCGTACATTTCGCGTCCACAGTGTGTCTGTTGATGCTATTTGGTAGGGCCTACACATTGGGAGGTGTGCGGCAGCTGCTGGCGTATGGGGCTCCGAGTGGCCCCTGCATGCACGAAACCCTTAACGGCATATGTAGGAGTTCCTGCACGGATATATGGAGTATGTACGGCGACCAAAAGGACTCCCCTTGCGTGATGCGGTACAAGTTTGCTGACATGGCGTGTTGCAAACTTGCATTACTCTGCCCTTGGCACAATTGGCAGTGGTAAGAACAGTTTGCTGATCCATGTTCGTGGGTATGCACATCGTGACCTACTCAAGGAGCTGGTATGGGACAAAGGGAAGCCAGGTTGGCAACGGTCCGTCCCGACCCATGGTTCAGTCGGCTTCAAACCCAGGCGCATATCATTCGAATTGACGCACCGCAGGACCAGCCGCCTGGTATAACTTCTTGTTTTGGTCATGTTTTCGCAGACTGGTTAGGCACAAGTTGAGCAATCAGCCATGTTGCCTTGGCAAAGATGATGCCATGACCTAGGCAGAGGTACATCCGGGCCATGCACGGGTAGCCTCGGTTGCTTGATGAATTTCAGCAGGAAATTGCCAACCCTGTACGATGTCAATAATCCTAGATAACAGCTGGCATAGGTCTGCGTGGAGCCCAGTGGGCAATTAGACAATTAGTCGATCACCCTTGGGCATTGCCGCGAACCTCAAGAATTTGCAAAGGAATACCACCACCTTCGTTCTTAGCTCCCGCGCTTAGACCATGGCGGCCTCCCGAAGCACTCCGGAGAGGGAGAAGACTCAGGAGGGGCAGCAGACATCCTTTGAGGATGTGCTTTGCAACCTTGACGCCCAAGCAGTCGCTTCTCTGGTTCAAAGCCTGGCAGCGCACAAAGGTCTTGCTGCCGCCCGCGCAACGTGTCGCAAGCTGCGCTTGTTCGTTGATGAGGAGCTGCTCGAGCTGAAGCTTACGTTGAAGGCGGTGGATTGGCAAAGTTCCAGCAGCGTTCAGGGTTCCCGACTGCCATTGCTGGAACGGTTTAAACGCTGCAACAGTCTAGTTCTTGTCATAGATCTCAATCGTGCGATGATGCAGCGAGGTTCCGTTCACGCTCGTTTTATGTTCCCTTTCGCAAACGCAACGCTTGCGGCCCGCGAGCGCATCCAAGAACTGCACGTCAAGCTACAAGACGTCTATAATGATTACGCCCGGGGCAGCAACGTTCGGTCCGACGACGCTGCTAAGTTCGTGGCCGCGCTTCCCTCCCTGCTGCGCCTGCTGCCGAGGCTAGCCAAGATCGATATCTCGAATCCCGCGGAAGGCTCCTCTGACGCGCACTCAATCGTGAGACACTCCTTCCGGGGAAAGCTCCAGAAGTACATGTACGGCGCCTTGGCCGAATTGCCGTACTTGGCAGACCTAAAACTGCCAACCTTCAATGGCCTTCAACACGCGGGCTGTCTGGCGGCTAGTTTGGGGTGTTTGGAGGTCAAGGCCGGTGCCACCGATACATACATTGGGAAGGAGGCCATTGCCGTACTGTCGCAGCTGCAGCAACTGACAAGCCTGAAGCTGTGGCTTCCCCGGGTGGCCTTTGGACGCCTGGAAGGCAATGCCGGTGACCCAGACTATGCCGAGCCGGGCGGATCCGACGACGACGGCATTGCGGATGCAGCTGCGGAAGATTTCTCCGTCCTCGGTCCGATTCCTCAACTGCTGAACAGTCTGCCCCTATCACTGCGCAGTCTCGAGGTTCTGGAGGCCGGCTATGATGCAGGGCTTAGTGACGACGCTTTAAGGCTCAGCGCTGAGCTTGACGCATCAGGACACCTGCAACGCCTGACCCTGGCCCTCCAACGCGCCTCGCCGTGGGCGTATAGCCGCCTTGCCCAGGCGGTGCTGGCGAGCAGCATGATGGGCCCGCAGATACCATTACAGCTGCAGATCGGCACGGTGGATGTGCGGTGGAGGTCGCTGTCGCAGCAGGCATCGCGGCCCTTGCAGCAGCTGGTGCGCCGCAGCGCTCAGGTGCGGGTGTCGTTGCTGCATGCCGGCGTGCAGCAGGCGCTGGCGGGGTTGGAGGCGCTAGGTGGAGTCTTGCCGGACAGGCTGGTGCTGCAGACGTCGGAAGACGACGGCGTCCTTGATCTACGGCTGCGGCGGGCGGCTGAGGGCTGCACCCCGACAGTGCCAGAGGCGGCGCCGTCTTCCCAGCTGACTAATGCAGTGGCGGCAGCGGCGGCTGGTCGCTGGTCGGCAGCGCCGCCCGCTGCAGATGTGGTGGCACAAGCGGTGATGCGGAGGCTTACGATGGCGGCGCAGGCAGCATCGGCAGAAGCTGGGGGAGGGTGCAGCGGTACCTCCTCTACCGCCCGCGCCGCCACGCCGGCAGAAGGAGTCGTCCAGACGGGGGCGATTGGCAGCTCAGAGAAAAGTGCAGCCAGCACCGCCGCCATTGCCTCTGGGGTTGCCAGCGGTAGCAGTCCTTATTACGGGGGCGGCGGGTGCGGCAGCCGCAGGAGCTGCATGCGTTTTGCCATGTTTTTTGCCAGGACGCCCTGGCTGTCACAGCCGGAACGACTGCTGGTGTTGCGCGGCCCTTTGCTGGCCGCGCTAGCCAGGGCGGGGCCGGAGGTCTGCAGCTGCTGGATCCGTGAGCTCGCAGCCTCACTAGACCGAAGCTTGGCCGCTGCTGACCGGAGCGGCCTTGTCCCGAATTACGGTATCGTAATTCGGGACAAGTGGGCGGACCAGTGGGTGCTGTTGTTGCCTGCGGCTGTGGGTGCTGCGATTGTGAGGACCAATTGGCCGGAGGAACAACTGGGGAATGCGGAGGTGGTCGCGGCGGTGACAGCGGCAGCGGCGGCTGCTGCCACTGGCGCCGCCAGTTCTGCGGCTGGTGACAAGGCTGACGCCACCAGCGGGAGGCGGTGGTGGTGGAAGGAGAGTCCCAGCGCGATTCAGGTGACGCCAGTGGCGGCGGCGATGGCGGATGGGGCGGCTAACGTCGGCCAACGGGTCTCCGCACGTGAGCTGTACTGTGCTGCGTTGCAGCAGGTGGGGGTTGGGGTGGGGGCAGGGGGTCAAAGGTCGAGGTAAGGACTGAAGCTACTGCAGATCTGCAGTTGCATTGGGTGGTCACCCCTCGGCCGTGTGAGTTTGTCGCCGCGCGGCGCATTTGTGTCAAGCGAGGGAGGAGGTGACGGTGGATTGATACCACTACAGCACCGGGGCTGGGATATGTGCCGAAGGAGGTTTGGTTGAGTCGCACGGTGTGGTGTATCCGCGTATCCTTGTACGTAGGCAAGGGGAGGGGCGCTACGGGTGTCAGCACGTGTAAGGAGTATAATACCTGCATCGCGTGCACCGCACTTGCCTGCAAACGGCTGAACAGTATACCCGCTGGTTCAAGCTTAGACATGGTGACTTGATGCGTGGGCACTTTTACCTGTAACGACCTGTCCTTCTGGCCACCTGGCCACCTGACCAATTTCCCTCCCTCCTACCGCTGACTCGCAGGAGCTTCAGGGGCTGTGGGATAACCGCTGCCTCGCGTGGGACAAAGGCGGCTGTGGCGCCACAGGCGCAAGCAGCAGCAGCAGTGGAGGCAGCAGCATGGCATCAGGGCAATGGCTCCGGGCGCTGCTGTCGCTGGCTTCGGAGCTCGGGCACCTGCCACAAGATGATGCAACAGACGAGTGGGACTAACCTAGCTGTCCGCTGTTTGCTTGAAGGTAACCGGATAAACAATGATCGTTCCGTCATGGCAGTCGTGTTGATATGGGCTCAATTGTCATAGCAGGCTAGAAGGTGGTTTGGGGGGTCGTCGAATCGAATCATAAATGGGTGCATGCAATGGCAGTTTATGGATGCTTGTGTGCTTCACGTTGTGGACGGTCAGGCAGTTGTGGAAGGCAAGGTGGAGGAGCTGAAGGCAACAGCGTTTGCACTGGAATGCTAGGAAAGCTGTTAGGAGTGCGCAAATCCGATTGTATGGGCGGGGTCACGGGTTGTTGTACATCCATTGCAGATGGTTAGGTTGTTGAGTCGGGATGCATTTGCGGTTGCTCGACATTGCATTGGGTACGGAGTGGAGTCTGTGTAGATGTTAGCATGTTACGATGTTGTCGCCTGCAAACGATTGCTCGCTTTGACGACCGGTTTGAAGCGCATCACGTTGCTGTAAGCATTGCCCATGTTTCGTTCAACCTGGGAACCAACGAGTCAATTGTCGGTGCGGAAGTGCAGAAAGGGAAGGAGGAGCTGCTCTTTTACCTACTCATCATCCCATGGCCAAATGTACATTCGTACAGTTGTCGTACACAGCATTTCCGTTGGACCGATCCGAGGGTCGTACAGGTCCGTCAGCTTTGGTCAGAAATCTTTTTCTGTTTTTCAGGAATCCCTCCAGCGGCCTTGTTACATTTCAAACTTTTATTTACATCTTTCCAGAAAATAAGAAGTTTTCCATGCAAGCAACAAGTCGCGAACCCGGCAAGGAGAGGCAGCTCCTCATTCTTATGAAGGCGAGATGTAATCTGAATTAAGCACTGAAATATTGCTGCGCACATTGTCCGGCCGGGCCTGACAGGTTGCCCATCTGTCCCCGGGGTGGTCTAACCCCTGGCCTAATCCCCAGCGAAGGCCCTTACGTTGTCCGTCCCGTCCCGTTATAGCCCATTTCACTAAGCGCCTTCTCAACTCCCAACCTCATCGCGCTCTTTTTCAGCTATTTGGTTACGACATCAACCCACTTCCCTTACTGCGCCCCATCACAGGGCCTCCCAGGTTCCGGAAAGTCAACACTCGCCGCTGCATTAGCACGTGCTCTCAGATGCCCGCTTGTTGATAAGGTGCGGCTCACACCTGCTTGCTGTCCCATCGTCCGGGCCGGAGAGGTTTCACATTTCCAACTGCTAACCGCAACCCCATCCTGCTTCATGCATGTGTGTCTGGCCCCATGTTGCGCATAGGACGATGCGCGAGACACCTTCCAAACCGTTGTACGACAAGCACCTGACATCGATTGGAACGCCTTGTCGTACGATGTCATGTTTCGAACCGCGGCACGACAGCTGGCGTTAGGCCTATCTGTCGTACTTGACTGCCCCTTGTCAAGACGCCAACTGTACGAGCAAGCTTGCGAGGTGGCCGCGAGGTGCAGCAACAGCAGTGCAATAGCTGGTGTTAGGACAACTGCTGCTACGGCGCGCGCAACAGTACCCGCTTCTCCTCCCCCTCCTCCTTCGCCTCTTGCTGCTCCTCCTCCCGCTGCTGCTCCTACATCTGTGCTGGTTGTGCTAGTAGACGTTGAATGCAGCGATGAGGTGGTCTGGAGGCAGCGGCTGGAAGCCAGGGGTGCGTTAGATCAGGGCACGGAGCGAGGCCACAAGCCGGCCAGCTGGGATGAGCTTCAAGCCCTGCTTTCCAGGTAAGTACGACACGGGTAGTGTGACGAGTACGGCAGTCCAGGGTACAATGTGAGGGTACGACATGACGGGCGGCGTCGGCCCGGTCAGGTTGCTACCCGTCAGGGTACGTGACTGGTTGGCTTGGGGGTTGCCGGTCGGTGAAGGGGACGTGCTAAACGTCATGTTGCTGTTTTGGACGTGGCAGCTGGCCCCGTACATGCATGCCAGCAGGCAACCGTGTCTTAAGGAGTCCTGTCCGGGTGTCCACTGTTGTGCGGGTCACCGTTAGTGATGACCGGGCGGCGCTCCTGACGCCCCTGCCCCATTGGGGTCGCGTAACGATAACGTACGGCAACTGCAGGTACGGCGGCAGTTGGCGTTGGAGCACTGACGGCAGTGTCGAGGTGCCGTACAGGGTGCCCGTCTGTACGGCAACTGCCAGCGTTGGAGACAACGTTGGTGTGGTGTTGGAATACCTGCAGCGCACGTGAGGAGGTACGTCATTTTCGGGTGAAGGAGAGATTCCTGATGAGCCCTTCCATCCCCCTTGTCACCCCGCAACGCCCTTCCGCAGGCTTTGATGTTGCTGCTATGACAAGTGCCTCATCAACGAATGGATGAGTAGCCGCTACAGGCCAGGTGCCCAAGGAGGCAACCTAGTGCTGACGCGGCCGGTGTGGACTCAGCCAACTGAAAGCAGCAACTGGGGAGGGATGTGCTCGGGTGCCAGGGAAGAGCTCCCTCTTTAGTACATGTCGTTGCGTGTTGGGTACGGGTTTGCATGGTCATGGAAAGGTCGCAAACAAGCAGCCCAGGAGGCGCCGAGAAGCCATGATTGGGTCGTATGCTTCGAAGGACGATGAGTGGCTGTTGGATAGGTTGCGGTGAACCCGTGCATGTGATAGAAGCTTTTATGGGCACAGGGAGCTTGTAAACGCCAGGGAACAGGGAACATACTCCCGGGCCAGGTTTGTTACAAAGGTGGAATGCTCAAGTGTAACGCTCAGGACGTGTTCATGCACGTCGTCATGTGTTGTCAAGCGTGAAAGCACTCGCGCACAAGTCCCGGTCAGCATCTCAGCAAGTTAACAGTGAAAGCGCGACACGGAATGAAATTGCCGTTGCCAATCATGGTATTGTGGAACGGCGCACGCTAATACGTACGGCACCACCGCACATTCCCTGTCCAAAGCCATGTTGGCAGCGAGGGCATCTGAGCCTGGTATTCTCGCTCCCTTAACTTAGGCTAAGCCACAAAAGTGCGGCCAACAAGCCAACAGACACGGTTGTCACAGTCCTTTAAGACATTCACACCAAGATCTCGTATACCACAGCGGCACTGCCGTACGTACGCACGGCAAAGGAACCCTGTTGTACTTGCATTGGCAGGGACATGGCCCGGGACAACATCCCAAATACCAACCATGTCCGGGCCAAGTAAATAACAACGTGAAGCTGCACTCCCTTTGCAGGGCTCCCGCGGCCCATACAGTCAAAGCGTCCATCCCAAGTTCGCAACAACGTAACAAAAGCTCGCAAAGGGTTTCCCGAATCGCAAGGAAACATACATATATCACCATCTCTCCCTCATATCAAGTCAAGTAGGCTATTAGACCTTGTAACTCCGTGACACTGTACCAACTACCAACGGCCTAACCTACATAGTCGTACAATCGTATCCTAATCTCTGCCCAGCGCTCACGTCGACGCAACCATGCGGCCCCACCGGCGCCACAACAAAGGCTTCCGGTGTCCGCGACCTAATCCCTTCAACATGATTCTTGGGTTACGGTAATCTCGAGGTTGACGTTAATATTATATTCATACAAGCCACCCCTCCCGTGTGTCGAAAGTTATGGGTCCGATTGCAGCCTAATGCGCACCACCAACCATCTCGAGCCTTGGCAACACCAACCGCAAAATGTGCAATATGGCGCATGCGAAAAAATACCGTTAGCTGCAGCAGATAAATACCCTCTGTCGATGTCCGAAATCATCAAGCTAAAGTTGATATGTCATGTTTGGAAACCGAGAGAGATGGCTAGTCTAGTGTCCACATCATAATACCATGCGCTCATTCCCACCCAAGCAGCTTGCGTCCTATCGCCGTTTTCCAAAGCGAAAAGCCCAGGGTAGGTCACAGCAGCTAGCCTGGTTCCATAAAAACCGAACAAAGGCGAAGAATAAGCCCATTATTCGCATCTCACAAAGTACGCTTGAACTGACAGCATTTAAGCACTTCACACTATTGGTTTGACCATGGTTAGCCGGAAAGATGAGATGCACCACTGAATCCGGCACGACATTGCTGTTAAGCACATGTGCCATGTAGCATAACTCTGGCCATGATAAGCCGAATCGAGCTTTGCCAACCACCAACGCAACCAACGAACGACCAACAAACCGCCAACAACGCATACGCCTGCAACGAGCGACAGAAACCACAGCAGGTGTGTACTCCCCAGAGATGCAAAACCAGTAAAAGCACTCTGGGGCGACGGGGGTGTCATTCCGAATCCTCCGAACGACCCACGGGTCACAACGCTAGCAGCCTGCGTCCTCAAATGTATCTTCTCCTCTTTAGCAACCGACTGCAAAACCAAGTTGCACCGCCTGACTCGCACGTTCCAGCCAATGTACGATACAGTCCGCTGATGAAACCCCCAAAGGCCAACTAGTCTACTCTCTTGCGCCCGGCAAGCGAGGCTGTATCACTCGCAAACCGACGTGAGACGAAGCAGCCGCCTCCGCCACCGACTTCACCGACCTCTGCAAGCCCGGCGTTCACATCGAAAACGCTGTCAAAGTCCGCTCCCGATTTGCATTGGCTGCTGCTGCCACGACGGCTGCGACGGCTTCCGAGCAAGCGCGCAAACAGCCGCGACGTCTTCGCAGCCATAGCAGATGCCGCCGAGGAAAGCCGAGATGTCGCCGATGGAGACCGTACGACAGCAGCCATGCCCTTGTCCTTGGGCACATCTTCCTCCGGGTCTGATCTCGGGCTGCTGCCACGGCTGCTCGTGATACTGAACCGGAAGCCGCTGCCCCGCAAGCTAGCCCAGCCTGTGCTACCGCTCCGCAGACTCATGCTACTAGTGCCAAAGCTGCTGCGAATGCTGATGCTGCCGCCGTCGCTGCCGCGGCCATCGCTGCTACAGCCGCCGCCGCTGACGCCGCGGCCAACGGTGGCGGCGGCGGCCGCGACAATGCTGGTGATGCTGATAGCGGTGCTTGCGTTTGAGCTCGCGCCTTCGCAACTGACGTTAGACCCTGACACACGGCGGGTATTAGTCATGCGCGGCTTGGCAGCGGTTGGGAAGCTCTTGGGTCGCCAGCCCAACACGTTGCCGCCCGCGGGGCATGTTGGCCCCTCGGCAGCACCGCTTCTGGGACTAAACGTCCGGCCCTCGCTTCCACAGCTGCTCGGCGAGTGGTTGGACCCGTCGCCATTCTCACGGGAAAAGGAGGAAGAAGGGGAACCTGCGGAGAGCTGAGCCCGCTGCTGTTTCTGCTCGCCCTTTTGCTGGTGCTTCTGCCCATCCCTCTGCTTTTGCTGCTTTGAAGGCGCAGTCGCTGCTACCTCCGCTGCCAACACCAAGTTACCCTCACTCCATGCCTTCCTGTGCCCAGCAGCCCTCTTCACGACCACTACCGCCTCGCAAGCGCCCGCGTCGGCGGCGGAGTCATCATGCGGGGCTGGCGGCAGCAGGGACCGTTGCTGAGGAGGAGCCATGTTGGCCGCATGTGAGAGCGCCGAGGGCAGAGTTCTTGCCCGGACAGGAGTATCTTCTGGAGAGAAGGTCTCCGAAGCGTCGCTGGTTTCCAATTGGGGTTGCTCAGGAATGGAGGGAAGCTGGAACTGGGAAGGCGAGGAGGGGTGGCGGCCGCTGCTTCCCAAGCCACCACACCGGAGGGATGATGCCGGCTGCTGCTGCTGGTGGTGCGGAGGCGGCGGCGACTGCAGCCGGGAGGAGGAGAAGGCAGACAGCAGGACGATGGAGGGTGGTGGCGGGGACATCTGGTTCGGGTGGCGTTGCTGGTGAGCGGAGCGGTTGCTGTAGGGCTGCTGCTGGTGGTGGTGGTGGTGTGTTTGCTGGCGTTCCGTCTTCCGCGCTGCTTGCGGTTGTGGGTGGTGCTGACGCTGGTGGCCCTGCTGCTGCTGTTGCTGCCTCCTTGGCTGCTGCTGCTCCCCAGCTCCCTGTCCCTGCCCCTGCTGCATGCAGCCAGCCTTGCGCATGGCGATCTGCGCCCGCACCGCCTGCATCACCGGACTGGGCTGCAGCTTGGCGTGCAACAGCCCCAGACGCCGCAGGGCAGCAGGCACCGAGGAGGAAGAGGGAGCCTCCAGGAGAGACCCGGTGACAACGTTCGCTAGGCAGTCCAAGACATCGTCGTACATGCCGTACTCCTTGCGGTACGTCTGGCATTCGATGACGACATCCGAAAGGTTGCCGTACAGCGCCCTGTTAGCGGTTGAGACGATGGCAAGTGCCGACTCGGATGCGGTGGGGGACTGCTGCTGCTGTGGTTTCAGGTGATCGTCTAGGTCTGCTAGGTTTTGAAGGTGGATGAGTGCTGGAGATGCCGCAGACTTGGGAGCTGCTGCAGCTGCGCCTGTGCGGCGGAAGGAGCTAGCCCTGCCCTGCCCCGACTGCGCCGACTGGCTTGCCAGAAACACCCTGCGTCGCCAAAGGGAGCATGGAGAGGCATATATGGCAGGCCGCTGAGAAAGTACGATAGCAAGAGCAATAGAGGACAGGCAAGAGCCATGTTAGGGAAAGCCTTGGTGAACAACAGGCATCGATTCGGATGTACCGGTACCGCTTGAGGTGCCTTCTACTCGCAACACAGCAGCGACATAGGCACTTCAAAATGGTGTACTGGTGTGGCGTCGTGACCGGTGTCAATGGAATTGCTCACCTGATGCCAAAGAACTGTCCGTCAGGGTCTATGCAGGCGAGAGCAGCGGTCAGCAGCGGCCTAGCCAGCTCCTCCACATATCCCGCAGCATCCGCCTCGCCTCCACCATAGCTACTACAGCACTGGTGTCGTAACAGTAAAACCGTATCCGCGTGCGGCTGTACGGCAAGAAGGAAACGCCGTACTCCGGGTCTTAGCCACACGCTGTTTGTTTGGGGTGGATTACTGCTGCTGCTGCCGCTTGTGCTGCTGTGTACAGGCGCGGATGAGCTGGTGGTGAATGTGAAGGTCGGCGCCGGACCAGCAGGTGTGTCCAAAGCGTTGCCATCAGAGGCACTTCTGCAAGCAGTCAGAAGTGGGCGATCATGTGAAAGGGTTGCTGAGAGAAACTGGAGAAACCGCGTCAGCTAGCTGGGGCACTGCAAGGTATGGAGGAGTGCCATGATAGGCAACAAGGGAGCACATTTGTGGCTGCGGGGGTGAATCTAAGGGGTGAGGTTGCATGTAATGTGCAGGGGCAGGCAACAATTTTGTGTGGCGGTGCAATGGAAAAACAAGGAACAGGTGCAGCTCGACGCTGCGGCTGGAGACGGGACACGAAGAGGGCAAGGTTTTCCTGATACCGAGAACAGGAAATCCCCGGCACCTGATGCGTGTAATGTATCGGGTTCACTGTTATGCAGTGAAATTTGCCATGTTTGCCCCCATTACACCGACCTGCATAGCAGGATGTCAAGGTCCACCACAAGCGTCAGCCGCCGAGACATACTGGAAGATGCAGGTTGGATATGCCTCCGCTGATGCAATAAAGCAAATGAAGGTAGTTTAGGCGCTACCTACGCGGGCATGAGTATCCAACAGACTGTCAGCGATCGTAAAATAGCATGCCATTTGCCATAAACTGTGAGGGACCTGAGTTCATGAGAAGGTGTTAGGGAGGGCACAAACTATATATTTGCGAAGTCACAATTCGGCGTTGACGAGCATGGCTCCTACCTAATCTGATCGCGAAACTGCAAGACCAGGGAGCATATATTGCAGAGCTCCAGAATGCTATAGTAGGCCGTTTCTACGGACTGGGCGAGGCCCATATGCCCCGGTCATTGCTTTGACGCCGGCTAAGGCCACCCAATTGCAACACAGATCATGCTGTTGGTAACACAGTGCAGTAGAGCATAATTATAATTAGCGGGCTACCCAGATAGTTGTAGGCGAGGTAAAGACGTTTAACAACCACGGCGCGACGATCCCTTGCCACTAGAACTGCATGAAATTCGCATACTACAGTAAGCAATTCGTCAGGAAAAAATGTACCCTTCACAGTCGCATAGGATTGGCTGCAGTTTTGGTCACTCGACTATGTAGTACTGCATGTGGTTACTCGTTCCCCGTGCGCACTGCGAGCAACGGGCTTCTGCGCTGGCCTTTGAAAACCGGGGACAAGCCTAAGAATAATTCTCGCTACATTAGTCGTGAGTGCTTTCATGCCTCTCCGGTTTGCCTCAGTCCTCTTGCCTGCTTGCAAGCGCCCTCCGATGCATTTGCATGCCGCCATGCAACTAGGGTGAAATGGGTTATAAGATATAGAAGCGGGCCTGTGCATTTTGCGCCATTGCGCGCCGCGACATGGTTTCTCCACAGCTTACAATGAGTGCTTCTCACGACGAACCCCTCACAGCTGGTATCGCAAAGGACAACCGGTAATTATCTTGCTACGTATCTTGTTCGAGCGCAGCTCACCCAACTACCATCAAGTAAATTGTCTCGTCGTTTCGAAAGGGAGCCCTGGGGTCCCGTGTAGAGGTCGTGCAAACTAGAAATCCTCCTCCACAATCTCCTCATTGTTGAAACGGGGAGGGGAAAGCTTGGCCGGAAGCGGGCGAGTGACCCTGCAGGCACAAACCGAAACATCATAATCTGTCAAACAAACAAAACTGGCATGAACCAAGCAGCCATGTCCTCAATACACGGCAGCACGCTCACGGCCATCATCCTCACGTCAGCATCCCTGAACCTACGGTGCAATCTTCTTGGGTGTCGGGCCGCCGGGGTGTTGTCTGGCCCCAAAGCTGAAGTCAACCTCTGGTGCGGGCCCTCCCACGGCTGCCAGCTGACGAGCCGGCGGCAGACCCGCGGGTCGCATGGTTGCGGTGTTTGCTGCCTCCACTTCCGCGCCCAACCCAAAGTCCTCTTCCACGTCCTCAATGTCTCCAGCTGGCCCTGCAAGCAGTCCAACAGGTGTCAAAAAGCATGCGGCAAGGCTTCGATGAAAACTGTCAGATCTGTATACCTCACGACGACGCTTACACCAATTGCAGTACAGACGGGAACCAGTGCGTAAACCATGCGCCCCAAGTATAACAGAACCCACATCCCACAACCGCTGGGCATTGCTCCCAAAGCAAACAAAGCGCGTCCACGGCAGCCAAGACCTCTTACCATCCATGCTGGGCCTTCGCTGCAGCCGGCGTGGCGCCGGCAACAAGCCGGATGACAGCGCCGGCAGCGGTGCAGGCGCCTGCGCACGCCGCAGCGAAGGCGGCGCCATGCCCAACCGCTGCTCTGCCGCAGCAGCAGTCGCCTCCAGGGCCTCCTCCGGAACATCGTACGGATCCTGGTGGTGATTGTACGACAGCGGTGGCGGCGGCGGACGCAGCATGCCACTCCCGCCGGGACCTTGAGTAAGGGACGGCGGCCGGAGCAACGGCGCTGCTGCTGGCGGCGGCAGGGGTGCAGTCGCCGCTTCTGCCTCCGCCACGTCAGCACCCAGGCCAAAGTCGTTACCACCGCCACGCTTGAAGTTGGTTAGGGCAGCTCCAGGGCGAGAAGGCGGCAGCGAGGATGGTGGCGGGAGGGGCGGCGGCGGCGCGGCCGTAGTGGCCACTAGTTCCTCATCCAGACCGTAAGCCGCATCGTCATTGTACGGCATGCGGGGTGGCGGCAGGAGTACGGGGCCGGGAGGTAGCGGCGGCGACAGCAGTGGAGCCGCTGCAGGGGGTGGCTGGACCGGCTGGGGCATGGCTGTTGGTGGCGGCGGTGGAAGCAGCTGCATGAGTGGCTGCCGGTGTTGCTGCTGCTGCTGCATGGCTGCTTGTGGGTCGGGATATGGCAGCCGCGAGCCCATCACTCCTCCAGCTTGTTGCTGCAGCTGCAGCTGTTGCGGTTGCGGTTGCTGCTGCTGCTGCTGTCCGAGCGGTGCCATCCCAGGGTGCTGCATGGCACCCCACATTGCAGCCTCCGAGGGCTGTGGAGATTGCGGTTGTGGCCTGCCCATGGGACCTACCCCTTGCTGCTGCTGCTGCTGTTGGTGGTAAGCTGCCTGCTGCATTGCAGCTTGTGCTGCCACCTGTGGCTGCTGTTGCTGCTGCCACGGTTGCAGCAGCAGCTGTTGTCGCTGCTGGGGGTCGACACCCAGCAGTTGCTGATGTTGTAGGTGTGGCTCTGGTGCCTGCGGCCCTTGCAGCGGCTGGAGTGGCAGCTGCTGCTGCGGCGGCGGCGGTTGCGTGCCGTCGAACGCTGTTTGACCCCCTTGTGGCTGGAACCCCGCCGGCACCGTAGCAGCTGTTGCCGCGTCGGGGCCAGGGCCGGGTGAGGTGGTTGTGCCGCCGCCTCGCCGCCACATGCGCTTGTACCAAGGGCTCGATGGGCCGGCGGAGTCTGGAGGCGGGCCTTGCATGGGCGGCTGAGGTGGGGGCGGCTGTTGGGGCGGCATCGGGGGTTGCTGGGGCATGTGCGGCTGGGGCATGGCTTGCGCCTGCAGCTGCTGCTGTTGCTGCAACGGCATGCCCGGCTGATGCATGGGGAACTGCTGCTGCTGCTGTTGTTGCGGCGGCGGTGCTGGTTGCAACGGCCCGGGTTGGTATGGTTGCTGCTGCTGTTGCTGCGGGCTTGCCACCGTCATCAGGGGCTGCTGCTGCTGCTGCACCATTGGCGGCTGGGGGAGGTGCTGCTGCGGGTGCTGGGGCGGCATCAGCGGGTGCTGGGGCGCCTGCTGCAACATGTGCGGCTGTTGCTGCTGCGGATACATTGGGGGCTGCTGGGGGGACAGTGGCTGCTGCGGCACCATGTGCTGCTGCAGCTGTTGCTGCTGCTGCATCTGCTGCATCTGCCCCGGAGGCGCAGGAGCGCTCTGGGGCCGCTTGGACTTGAAGGGGGTGATGGACCGCAGCGCCGCCTGGGGGTTGAGGAGGAGGGTTGCATGCAAAAGGAGGGTTGCATGCCAACGGAAAATAGGGGTGGTGTTGGCCTCCTCAGCATTGCACACCCCAACGTTGCTTCACATGGATGTTGGAACCTCTTATCTAGGCATTCACACAGTTTTCCTTGACGCAATACCCCATGAACCCCAAACCCCCTCTCCTGCATCCCGTGCTAAACCCCCAACCGCGCACCGCAATCCTTCCTCCTGTCTGCCCAGCCTGCTGCCCCTGCTGCTGCTGCTGCTGCTGTTGTTGTGCGATAATGGACATGACGGGCGGCGGCAGGCCTCCTGGCTGCAGCAGAGGAGCACCGCGGTGCGGCGTGGAGGGCTGCGGAGCGGAGCAGGAAGGAGGCGGGGACGTATAGGGCAGGACAGCGGATGGGCAGGGGCAGGGGAAGAGAGGAGGAGGGGCAGGCATGTGAGGGCTGGTACAGCCAAGAAAATGGCTACGTGTGCTGACGTGTGAGCCGTAGGTGTACACGGTAATCAACTAATCATTGTTAAGTCGGGGATAATAATAGTTGCTCCGGCGGTGCACGGGGCCCATAGGGCACGCCAAACTCGCAGACCCCGTCGCCTACGTTCGTATCCCTCCTAACCCAATATGCCAATCCTCCTTTACGCAGCAGCCCATGCGGGTTTCCAACCTGACCCACATGGCATACCGATAATCACGACATAACCCATCTCATGCGGTTGCGCCGTGCACCCCATGCTCACGTCTGAACCCACCACACAACAGAGCCACACCAGGCATCCGCTCCCATGCCCACCTGTGAAAACCCGTACGGCATCCCGGTGGTTCCGTACGGCATGCCCTGAGGAGCGCCTGCAGGTGGCGCCGTCCCCGGCCGCTGGCCCGCTGGCCCCGCTCGGCCGCCGCTCCAGAGCCCCCTGCTGCCTGTCAGGCCCCGCGCTGCTGCCAGCGCTGCCATGTGCTGCTGCGTGGCCGCCAGGTGCTGGAAGACCAGGTCAGGGGAGGGGCGCGGGTCGCGGGCGAGCGGCTTGGGGTTCATGGACATGACAGTGTCCACGATCTGCTGTTCCCGCAGCATGCTGCGTCTGTGGGAGGGCCGGGGAAGCATGGGGACAGTGCTTTGGTGGGTGGGGAACTGGGCTTGGGGCGAGGGTGATGGACAAGGGATGGGACTGGAAATGTGATTAGCAGCCGAGAGGAGCTTCTTGCCATCCTTACCACACGTGAAGCACACAGGCTACCCTCGACTGACCGTGTTTGCATAATTGCTCGTGCAGTGTCATCAGGAAGTCCAGTGAACCACTGCTGAGCCGAGCGGGTGTGGAGAGGATTGGGCACCTCCGCCTGCGGACGCGCGACCATGCGGTATTTAAGGAGGTGTTGCGGGCAGCCAACTTCTCTCCAAACGACACGAACTTGTAAGGAACATATCATGGTAAGCAACAATGCTTAAGCCAAACGCCTGGGTAGCTCAAGCAGGAAAGCAGTAGCACAGCAACTCTTGGATTTCGGAAGCACCGCTACCACAGCTCGCACGCACCGTTGTAGCTGGCAACAAGGGCCTATCATATGATGGCGCCAGGAGCAGGGGCACGTCATCACCGGTTACCAGTCGTTTCCATTGAAGGGTTCGAGGGTACCTCCAATCGTCGTTATCACGTAGACCTGCAAATCAAAAGAAAAGGCTCGCATAATAGTGAAGGCATGGTATTAAGTAACTTTGCCTACCGTTCGTCGGCCCACAGCAAGCCATGTCTCCTGTTTGCTTCACCCAGGTGCTCCACCTTAAAGCTTCATTGTGATAGCAAACACTTAAAGGGTGTTATTGATAATGATAACCGCGCAAAAGCTGTATAACTTCGACTGTGAGTTACAAAGGTCATGCATTGGGTCGGTAACACAAGGTAGGCTTTTTAGTTGTGTACACCTTAGTATGCTGAAGTTCATATAGGTGAATGTATTGCCGCTTGAAAATTAATCTGGGTCTGCAAAGGTATGCATAGTGGTCTAGCCAGGCCTAACGGAACCCAAACCCCCATTCCACCAGTGAGGACGGTAAGCCATCCCTGGCATGCCCAAGTGCTGCTCTGTCAGCCAGTTGCAGTCAGAGTTTACTAGCATGCGCCCTACGTGGGGCGGTCCCTAACGTCCTATCTGGGCCTATCTAGCGTTCGTGGGTGGCCCTGTTGCCTGATAGTGTTCATGCAATATTTGCCAATTGCTATGCACGTGCTATGTCCCTTCCACACAAGGAAGCGGCGCAACCTGGTCGCTGACATCCATGCTGCGGCATGCGATCTAGCTGTCCAACGGCGTCACCATCTTGAGCCCTCTGCTCGTTTTTGCAATTTTTGCTGCCGTGCGGCCTAGAAGACGTAGTCAATAACTGATATGCCACGTCATGTTACCATGTTACCAGCTTGGCGAGGCAACCTAAAGAAACACGCCATCCCGTAAGCATAAGGTAATGGGAGGCAAAATTGCGCCGCTTCCTTAACCATTTGCAACCTCAACAGCTCTGCTGTGAACGCAACCCAGTGGCACTGTCCAAGGGTGTGCAGTTCCTCGGTGACAACTCGCTAGGCTGCTGTATCCACAAATCGTTTGAAGTTAACATCCGTACGCAATTATACTCCAATTAGCTTAGTAATATGGTTCCCTATTTGTACCCTTGGCCGCCTTTGCGGAGGGCTTAGCTGGTGGTACCACGTGCAGCAAGAGCATGTGCGCCCAGTCATTGTGATCATTGCGTCGGCGTCCTTTGAGGTCAACACAACGTGTCTGCCCTTTAAACTCCTAATCTTGTAAGCCTCCTAAACACTACCTGTTATGCTGTAACATGGAATTCCAACATGCCAAGATCCGTGCAAAACCTCTCCGCCTGGGTCATGCTGACGTTGCAACATCGGTCTTGCCTCAACTTCCTCCTTACGTTCCCTACACCCTGACCAGCTAAACCTAGCTGTGCGTGCGTTGGCTTGCTGGCCACTATTCTTTACGCAATTGTTTTCCGTGTATTATTTCTATGGACCAAGAGGCTGGCGGCACAAGGGCACCGCAACCTGGTAAGCGCGCGCTATAGGCTGCTGCGAAATCCAACATCGCAGTCACCGGGTGCCAGCATCTTTCATGAATTCCAGCTCCAACAGCTATCCCCAGCTAGCGCTGCACATTCTGTACCAGTCTTTGCCTTTAGTAACTACCCTGCGCGAACAAGTAAGACCATAGCCCGACGAGTATGGCACATCACCACAACCGTCGTCGATTTATGAACCATGGGTCAGTCGCCGGCCACAGTTACTCAACTTGCGTTCTTATCCCCTTCTTCCGACGGCCGAAAGGCTGTTGTACCTTGCCATAACCTTGGCTTCGGGCTCGTGACCCTGGTCATGTGTTCTGTTGCATGGGCGGTGGAAGGGGCCCCTGATGACTCCCACCTCCTGCACCACCGCCTCCTCACCCATCCATGTCCATCCCCACATCCTCCCTCCCTCAACCATACATACAAACCATTTCCCTGCCTTCCTGTTCCCTCCTACAAGGGATACCCCAGGACGGCGCCGGAGCACCTACGGGGCAGCAGCCTCCACACCCATACATCTCTGCTGGCGGCACCGGCTTGCCGCCTGATCACACTGCTGGCCAGCGGGGTTTCGGCTTCACTGCTGGCGGTGGCGAGCTACGACCTCCCTCGGGAGCCGCGCCTGCGACGGGGACGACGGCGGCGGCGGCGGCTTCGCAGCCTCTAGTCAGTGGCGGCGGCGCTGTGACAGGCGCATTACGAGGATTGCCGCCGCTGCCGCCGCCGCAGCAGCAGGCGCAACAGCAGCTAGCGTCAGGTGGATTTGGATCTTACGCAGGTTTCTATGAGCCAGGCCTGCAGCAGCAGCGGTCCGAGCAGGATATGTCGTACATGCAGCACCAGCGTGGAGAGTACGGAGACGGTACAAGTGCCTGGCAACACCAGTACGGCACCGGATTGCTAGCTGGCGGCGGGGGCGGGAGCAGCCGGCAAGCGGCTCCGGCTAGCTGTTATGAGGTCTGGGATTTCGACGGAGATGCGGAGGGACGAGGCGCCGCCGCCGACGTACGGCATGGAGGCCAGCTGTACGGCCATCAGCCGTATCCAGGCAGTCTGGAAGGCGGCGCTGCGGTGTACGAGCAGCAGCAGCGGCCGTATGAGTCGGCAGCTGGCCGACCCATGGGTCATCAGGATGGCTACGGCTACGGACTGCAGCAGCAACCATTGCCGCCATTGCCGCCTCACGATCAGCAACAGCAGGCGCTAGTGGGTGCTTATAGCGGTGCCGGAGCCGGATCAGGACCTGCTTCTGTTGCAGCCACGGCTGCTGCTCCTTGGGGACCGCAGCTGGGGCCGACCCAGATGACCCATGGGTCATTTCAGGATCTAGGAGGCACAAGCATAAGCGCCGGCGCTGGCGCTGGCTCCGGCGGCGACATCCCCATGGCTGTTGCATGGGCCTTATCCTTGCAAAATGTGCGGAATCTAGTCATGCAGGAGGTTATGGCGGAGCAGCAGCAGCAGGGCGCGGGTGGTGGTGATTCCGGGGGGTTGAGCGACGCGGCTCAACGAGTGGCTGCGAGTGCGGGTTGGGACCTGCAGGTGGCGCTGATGTGGAGCCCTGAGGTGGTGCAGGTGCCGGAGCCGCAGGTGAGCCGCGTTGGTTTCGGAGGCTTCGGGCGCTGCGCGGGTCGGTGGGTCGGCGCGTACATGGAGTTTGCAGAGATGGGTAAAGGGGGACTGGTGAAGCTAGGGGTTGCATGGGGCAGGATGGGAAGGCGCACGCATGGGGTAAAGTGCTGAAAACTGCCAGCTACACCCGGCTACACTGCACTTAAGCTATAGTCCATTGCACCGTCCCGTCCCTTTCTCCTGCTGCTGCCAACCTCCAGTACCGTACCGGCGGGGTGCAGAACTACGACAGCTTTTCCCAGCCGCACACGCTGCCCGCCGTCATATCTCCGCCACCTCTCGCCCCTTTCACATGCATGTCCTTCCCCCCTTCCCTCGGCCGCCACCGCCGCCCATGCACAGATCACCCTGGCTCGCTTCCACCTGTCTCGCCCCCCAACTGCCGACCCCGCGGCATCCGCAACCTCCGCCGCCGCTGCAGCCCTCCACGAGTCCTCCGAGCTGGTGGTGGATCTGATGCCCAACGGCGAGGTGTGGCTCACCTCTGCGGGCGCCCCGCCGGTGCCGCTCCGGAACCAGGTGGCAGCAGCATCAGGCGGGGGAGGCGGGGGGGCTGAGGAGGAGGAGGAGGGGGAGCAGGAGCAGGGGGGCGGCGGCGGGACGGCGGGGGGCGGCGAGGGAGAGGTGTTCAGGGCGGAGAGTCTGGAGTCACTGCAGGCGGTGTTGCGGACGCTGGGAGGCCCGGTGGGTGGTGGGGGGAAAAGATACAGATAAATGCATCAACGGAGTCCCAATCCCGAATCCCGACTCATGCAGTGAGGTGGTTGGGGGGAGGGGCGGGTGAGGTGAGGTGAGGAGGGCTTTAGGCTGTTGTGAGGTGAGGTGAGGTGAGGAGGGCTTTAGGCTGTTGCATGTGCTCGATGGGCGGCTGGGGTTCGTTCACAGCGTATGGCAAGGCAGGTGGTGTTGCGGGTACTAGAGGGTTGGGGCAGACGGCCAGAGGGACGAAGGGAGGTACCGGTATGGGTTAGGAAGATTGGGCCTAGATGCGAGCTATACGTACGTCGGCCCGTCAGCTGTTATCATTACATGTGCATGTATGGCCGTACATCCAAGTTACCCAGAAACAGATCCAGGCAGGCATGGATACCGGTACCCTACAGCTGACACGTCCGTTTGCCTCTTCAGGTGTCTCTTTCCCCGCTAAATCACTCGCATCGGCGCCTACGACTGGTCGTCCCCCGCTCCCCTGCCCCACCTTCCCCCAGGTCGCACCATTTGCCCCCCCGGCAGCTCTGGAGCCGGCACCGCACCAGCAGGCGCCCGCGGGACTCCAACCGCCCCAACCAACCCCTCTGCTACCGGAACAACAACAACAACAGCAGCAACACCAGCATCCCCAAGTGCCTCAGCAGCAGCAGCAGTTGTTTCATCATCATCAGCAGCAGCAGCAAGTGATTCAACAGCAGCCGCATGCTCCCCAGCAGGCGCAGGAGGAGTTCCAGCGGGCGGGTCAGCTGCTGTTGGGGCAGCTGGAGTCGGAAGAGCTGGGCGGGGGGCTTGAGGGCGATGAGGAGGGAGGGGCCGAGGTGGAGGACAGGCAGGAGGAGGAGGAGGAGGAGGGGGCGGGTGAGAGGGAGGGCACCGGCGGCGATGGTGGAACAGGAGGGCGACGCGAGGCGGCAGCGGAGGCGGGTATGCGGGCGGAAGAGGCGGGAGGAGAAGGGGCGGGCGGAGGTGCAGTCCGTGCAGAGGAGGGAGAGGGTGAGGGCGAAGGCGAGGGTGGGCGATGGCGAGAGGAGCAGGAGGAGGTGAGCAGTCCTCCGCCGGGTGCCGGGGGCGCGGCTGCGGCTGCGGGTATGGCACCAGGACCTGCACCCGCGGGGCTGGCTGCGCTGCAGGCAGGGGGCGGGGGTGGCGGGGGTGCGGGCCGGGAGCAGCAGGGGCCCGGCACGGGGCAGGGACCGCCTCCTCGCCTCGTGGGTCAGCAGTTGGGTGGGCCAGCGGGAGCCCAGCAGCCGCAGCAGCAGGTGTTGCAGCCGCAGCAGCAACAGACGGTGCAACCGCCGCAACAGCAGCAGCAGCAGCAGCGGGAGCAGCAGTTGCAGCCGATGATTCCTACACAGCAGCAGCAGCAAATGCAGGAGCAACAGCGGCAGCAGCAAGCGCAGCTTGAGCTGCGGCTTCAGCAGCAGCAGCAGCAGCAACAGCGGCAACGCGAGCAGGCACTGCTTGCAGCCCAGCAACTGCAGCTACGGCAGCAGCAGCAGCAGGCAGCCTCTTTGCGACCGCAGGAAACAACACATCCGCAGCAACTTCAGCGGCCCCCGCAGCAACAGCAGCAGCAGCAGCCCCAGCTTCAACAGCCCCAACAAGTTCCGGAACCCAGGCAGCCTCAACAGCAGGTGCAGCAGCTGCAGCCACAACAGCCTTTGCCATTGCCGCCACAGCAGCCGTTGCCGCCGCCGCCGCAGCAGCAAGCGCCGCCCCCGCAGCAACCTCAGCAACCGACACAACCACTACAACCGCCTCAACCGCCTCCGCAGATCACACTTCAGCAGATTCAGCACCAGCAAGCCAGCGTGATGGCTCATGCTAATCAAACCCTACAGCACCTCATGTCAGAGCACGGGTACCAACAGGGACAACAGATCTTTCAGTTGCAGTACGCGCCGCGCTTTCAGCAGTCGCTGCTGTATCTGCAACAGCTAGCACAGCAAGTCCAACAGGCCCAAGCGCAAGCGCAACAGCAGCAGCAGCAGCAGCAGCCGCAGGTGGCAGCCATGCCTGGGCAGTACGGTGCTGCTGCTGTACCTGCCATGATTCCCAGCGGCGGAGGCAGCGGCGGAGGCACCGCTGCTGCCGCAGCTCCCGCCCGCAGCGCCGCCTCCGGAGCGACATCGGGGTCCGCGGAGGCTGGCGCCCTCGCCGGGCAGCCGCCACCACAGCAGCCGCCGCAGCAGCTGGCTCCGGCAGCGCCACCGGTGCCGGCGGGGCTGTTGCAGCCGCAGCCGCCGCAACAGGCGACAGTGGCGGCGGCGGTTCCGGCGCCGGCGTCTGGCGGCGCAGGGCCGGCGTCGCCCGGTAGGGGCCGCCGCCGCGGCGGCGTCAGCCACCCCACAGGTAGCGGCGGCGGTGATGCCGCCGCCGCTGCTGGCCTAGAGGCCGGTGCCTTGTCGCCGGCGCCGCTGGCGCCGGCGGCGTCCCCCACCGGCAGGTCAGGTGCCGCCGCCAGGCGGCATAAGGCCTCCGCCGCCGCCGCCGCTGCTGCTGCGGACGAGGAGGAGTTCAAGGTTGACGGCACTCGCAAGCGCGCGAGGTGCGCTGGCGGCTGCGGCAGTGCCAACGCGTCCCGGGTGTGCAGCTGGGGGCTGTGCATGACGTGCTGTACGGAGCGCTGCGTGGCGAGTGGGGAGGCGTGTCGCTACAGCAACCATGCGAGGCGGGCGCAGGAGCTCCGAGCCCAGCATGGGGAACATGGGGAGTAACGGCGGAGGGCGGAGGAGGCAGGGTGGGGGGTGCGCTCCAAGGAGGAGGTTGGGATTGGACCGGGATGGTTTGGTCGAGGTAAGGGGTTGCTTTAGAAGGCAATGTGTTGTGGTGGGGTTTGTATTGTGTCTTTCGGGAAGCGGGTTAGGGTTGCGGGGGTTGTGCAGGCAGGGGTGTGGTTGACGGCGGGGCGATGGTGGATGGGCTCTTAACATGCGGTGTTGAGGGGCGAATTGAATGGAAGAAGTGGAAGAGGAGCGCATGGGGGGTGCCGTATCTTTACGCGCCGTTGCGCGTCAGGGAATACACGTTGCCTGGTTGGCTATGCAACGAACAGAGGCATCCAGTTGCAAGGAGCTGCGGTGACGACATGGGTTGGGATTGGTTCCTGATGAGCATAAAGTTGGATGCAGCGGTTGGACACACCGGACACCCGGAAGCGAGTTTTGGCGGGTTTTCGCCCCGGCTTGGTGTTGACGGGAATACCGGCGTCGCGGTCTGGACGGTCCGCTTTCCGCGTTTGGGCCATCAGGCATTGGTTGTAACCGGCTGGGAACGACCTACACGAATAGGATGTATCGGTAATGCTCTATAAGCTTTGGATGCACAGCGGTTTTCTGGACGAGATAAGCTGGTCGTAAGCGTTGAACGCGACAAAATAGGGGGTAGCTCGGCCGCCTGCTAGATAGGTGCAGCCTCATGCCTTGTGTAGGAAGGTTCTCGACGTCTTGCCTCCACTTTGTGGTGGCAATCAAACGCCGTAAGTGATGGGGAGGCTGACACTTACCAAGCTGCGACGGGGTTAAGGTGTAATTTACTGCGCAGGATGGGTAAAGGAACGAATTAGACTGGTTGACAAGGCTGGGTGGGTGGCAATACAGCTGAGACGTCTAGTAAAGAGCAAAAAAGCATGAGGCCGTAACACAAGCGCAAAACGCACGGAGGCGTTCTGAGAAGCTGTACCGTCTTCGGAGCAGCGGTAGCAGTGCTACCGTTAAGCGTTAACATGCAAGCAACCTGCAATTTGCACGCAACTATGCTTTTCTGTTCTACCACGCATATAGAGTAGGCTGACCTACGAAAGTTGAAGATAGCATACAGAATAAAGGCATGTGCACAAGCGGGGCCGCAAACGCGGCCCCTGAAAGCAAGGCGAATACCTGTAACAACAGAAACCACAGGGCAACAGTCATAGCTAAATATGCAAAGGCTGGGGTAACCGCGTTTGTGGCCCTACAGCTTGGGCTTGCAGCCGTTAGGTTTGTACGTAAGTTGCAAACAGTGATCCCCTTTTTTAAACGTGCCAAATATTGGATGGCCACTTCTTTCTATAATATCCTTCAGGTTGACCTGTGGCCTTGGCATGCCATTCCATCCTACGCCCTTATGTCCCCTCGAGCAAAGCGTATAGCCCCTTGATACTTTGGGTTCTGTTACGCCTGCTACCATTCTTAACCTTTTCAGGGAGGAAGCTCGGAGCCAAGCACAACCCGAGGACACCCTCATCGTCGCCACAAGGCCAGAGCTTTGGGCAGGACAGGACGAACGCAGCTCAGCAAGCGGTAACGGGGCAAAAGAGGAAGGGGGCCCCAAGCCGCTAAGGGTGAAGGTCGGAGGGAACATCCCTCGCCATCATGCCAGCCGTGCACAACCTCTTTAGACACAAACCGTTCTCCCAACTACCCGAGGCCCCAAACAATTACACCTAGCGCCTTGGGCGTGCAGCAAGGCATGTCCTTCAATCGTGCTTCTTCCTGAAAACCCGTCTACTGCACTTCACTTGGATGCTGCACTTTGTCCTCTTAAGGCGTCTCTACCATTCGCCTGCGCTGCCTCCCTCACTCCCCTCCCACGACCCGACACCCCTGCTCTCTCCCGCGCCACAGAACCTGCCCTCAGAAGACGCCTGGACCCTCGTCGATGCACCCGCACCCAGCACACCAGAGGGCTACAAGCCCATGGTCAACACCGTACTGCCGTGCAGTCCGCAGCAACTGTACAACATCTTGTTTTCCAGCTCCGGAACCGAGTTGTATGTACGGCAGCATAAGGAAGTCGGGAAGCACTGGGACGTCGCACTCACGGGGTGGCGTCGCGCTCCGGCGGCAGGTGGTGCGGGTGCGGAGGGAGCGGATGGGAGCCTGCTGGGCCCTACGAGCGTGTTCGAGTATGTGGTGAGGCGGCAGGGGATGTCAGAAAGTACCAACCAAGTAATTAACTGTGTGATAAGGCATCACGGTATGGGGTTTTAGGTTTGTCAAGAATGGCTGGGAAGAACTCCTGGCTGTGAAGAATAAAGGGCCGAAGACCCAAATAAGTATGTCACAGGGTTGTTGGGAATCCTTTCTCTCGCTCACGTTCTTCCCTGATAGAGCTCACAGACCCCGTTCCATACCTGTTGTTATACTGACCCATGGGTCCGACGCTGCGCGGCAGGTGGGGCAGCCGGGCTCAGGCGGTTACACGCGGCTGCTCACCTTTTGGAACCCCAAGAAGCCGCCCAACACAGCCGACACACGGTAGGCGGGGACACAAGGGGTGAAATGAAGGATACCCAATTCACGTGTTGAATGAGAATGATCACACCGGGGGCTGGGTTGGCAAGCAGCAGCAGCGGCAGGGTACTGCCTACATCGTGTTGTCCATCTTGTTGCCCCCGCACCCCCTCATCACCTCCACATCCCTCACCAACACCCGCCTCCCCCTCATCTCCCTGATCTCGCGCCCGCGCCCCTTCATTCAACACCTTGGAATTCCTCTCTTCCCCCAGCTGCGTCCAGCGGCAGCAGCTGTGTGTGTACCGCGGCGGGGAACTGCTGTTCGCCACCGCCATGAACATGCTGGACATCCCCTTCAGGTGCGGTGAGGTGCGGGAGGGTAAGGATAAGGAAAGCTGACGAACTGGATGATGGGCAGGGAGGGGGGGAGGGAGGCACATGCGGGAGGGAGGGAGGGAGGCACATGCGAGGGGGACATGGGCAGCTTCCGGGCTGGCAGGCATATGGATACCAGCTGATACCGTACATACGTGCCTAGGATTACACCCTCCAGTTGAGCGACCGACATCTAGTTACGGTAGCTAACGTTTGGGCTATAGGTTACGGTAGCTCTGGTCGTTTCTTTCGCCCCGTCGCCCCGTAGCCGTTTCGTTCTACTCGTAGTAGTCCAGGTAGCGCAGTCATAGCAGCGCCGCTGTGGCTCCCGGTATGGAAACAGCTACGCAACCGCGCAGGGATTGCTTCACAGTCAACACCTTCTGGCGGGTGGCGCCGGGTACCTCGCCGGGGAGCTGCTCCGTGAGCATCCACCTCAAGGTGAGTGTCAACTTGTACGGCTAGCTGGGGGTAGCCGTGTAACTCCTGTTGATGTTAACAGCACCGTGCGGGGGGGAGCGAGAGGGGCACTGGGCACATGGTAACCCTGGCTCAGTTGTTGCGCATGCACACGACTCGGCTCAGTTACGATAACACGAGGGTACGTGCATGACGCACCCCCTCCAGGTCCGTGATTGCACACCTCCAGCTACCAGATCCCCACCACACCGTCTCGAGCCGGCATACCCGTTAAACAGATACCTGCTCTGCTACCGACTTACCTTCCCCTGCCCGCGCAGGTCAACTTTCTTAAGCGCGCCTTCGGAGTGGGCGGCATCATCTCCGCCACCACCTCCTCAGAGACCTCCGCCTTCTTCAACGCTTTCATCGCCAACGTGGAGCGCTACATCCGCACACAGCAGCAAGAGCAACAGCAGGCCCCGCCTCCCCGCTCACGCCTGCAGCTGACGCCATCGTCATCACCATCACCAGCCTCCGCCAGTGCTGCTGCTGCTGCGGGCGTTCCAAAGGATGTGGGTGTCCTAGGCGGCGGTGGCGGTGGCGGCGGTGGTGCTGCTGCGCCGTTGCGGGAGACCCTGCCTGCCTGGAAGCAGGTGCGTTGGTCGATCTGGTGTTGCACACGGCTGTCAGGGCACCTGCTCTCAATGCTGATGCCGCTGCGTCCCTGCCATGCCCTGCCTCGGGGCATATGTGTGGGTACCGGTACCGTACTGAAATGGCGGAGGACATCGCGCTATGGCGGCAGGAAGGTTAGGGAACACATAGAGTATGCTGCTAGGCGCGCGGGGCTGAGCGAGGACACCAATCTTTGTGCCACCTACGTTCGGCGCCAACCTGCCGTTATATCGGATGCACAGCCCTTCGTTTCTTCTTAGGCACCAGCATTGCTGGTTTACTGACCCTGCCGCCGCCCTTTTCCGCTCCGCCCCCGTCTCCCCAGATCCGCGCGTTGCTGGTCTTCGCCCTGTTGTGCTACATGTTGCTGACTCAGCTGCACCAAGGGCAGCAGCTGGCGGCCCTGCGTGCTCGTACGGCATCGCTGTACGGCGACAGCGGTGTTGATGACGCTGCCGCCACCACCACCACCGTCGCTAGCGCTGTCTACGGAGGCAGCGTTGCTGCGGCTGCAACCCAGCTGCTGGCGGCGGCGGTGGGTCGGGTGGCTGCGGCGACGGTCGGTCTGCACGGGCTGCTGCTGGAGCTTGGGGAGCGGGTGGGCGGGCACACGGCGGGGAGGGCGGTGCAGGAGGCAGCGACAGCAGCGGCGGCAGCAGCAGCGGCTGAGGCCGTGTAACGTGACCGGTGGAGCAGTGGGTGGTACAGCAGTGGATCGCGTGGTTGGAAATACGGGAGCGTTGTTGTTTTACCGAGTAGTAAACGAGAGTCGAGAGAGAGAGGGCGGGATAAGGCGGCTTTTCTGATTTCAAGTTGTGTCCCGAGTGCGGCTTGGTTATGTAGGGTGGAGAGAGGGTAGGAGGGGGGCAGGAGTGAAGACCTGAACGGGAACCTGTTAGGCATGGCGCATGGGTACGGGGCGCCCAGTCCGACCTAAGCCCTAGAAGGAGAGTTGCAGTTCGTGTAGGAGGGTAGACAGTTAGATCCAGCCCCGTGAAAAGGTAGTGTTAGAAGAGGTGGCGGTGCAGAGAGAGGTAGCATGGCGAGAGGAAAGGCCCATCATGAGGGTGGCTTGAGCAGTATTAGCGTAGCGCATTTGCACATGCCATGTGGTGCGCTTATGCATGCACGTACAGTAAAAGACACCCAGGACTGAGGGGTGACCTGCAATGGTGCGATGCAGTGATAGGGTTAAGCCATAAGCAGTTGCGCATGTGTGGAACAGGGTTTTGAGAGGGGCTCCTAGCGCAATTCAAATACAGCGCCCATCACTGGGAGCGTTCCTATCGACATACGCCACTTGCCGGCTGCCTACCATCCCAACTGAAAGGCTGATTTTTAGGGCCGCTATGCTGGTGGAATGTCTGTACAATGGCCTACTGCATGTCTGAACATTTACAGATACCTATCTGCGGGGTTTGGCCTTATGGCTCCCTTTGCTTGACGGGTAGTTTCTGGTTGGACGAGCACCGAAAGGCTATCGGCAATAAGCCATGATACCTGCAGATGCACTCGTCTTGACCGCGAGAAATCGAATAGTATGTGCAGCTTCTCCACTACTCAAGCTATAAGTTGATACATGATAGCAGCAAACGCAACAAGCGTAACCTGTTGCCCCGCTTTGACATAGCTGTCATTACACCATACAGTAAGTTGCTATGGCTACCATAGGGGCTCCTCGGCTGCGGCAACGTCCCTTTCAGGTATGAACATTTCCAACCAGAGGCGGCACCTCTTTGTGTCAGAAAGCATCCCTAACAAGGAGTATAAACTGCTCTTACTACGCAGGCAGTATGCTTACCGCCCATCCTCGTGCTGTCGCATATGGGTCCTCGCAAGTTTGCGCGGCCGACGCAGGTTCGTGTAAAACAAACTTTACGCCATGCTGACTTTTACCGTCGGGGCTCATGCCAGTATGCATGTATTTTAGGCGCTACAATGCATGGCACTAAATGGCCGGTTGGTGTGTCCGCGTCAAGCTCGTCGACGCATCCCAACTCGCGGACGACAGCTCGCTGTGCGAGCCGTGGCCATGGTCAACGTGGATTTTGCCAGTCCTTCGCTCTTGCTTGGAACGGCATTAATAGGCTGTGGCGTGCTGCTCTTAAACGTGAGTAATTGCTAACGTGCCAACAAGGCTTGCATAGCGGGTTCGAGACTGTTGCTAACTTACCATGTCTTCCGCTCGCTGCTACGCAGCTTCGAAACTTCCAAAACAAGGTGTCACGCGACGCCGACATCGTGGTTGCGGCAATGGTCAGCATCGTGGGTAGCACGCTTATTTTCCAGGGCTGGCGCCTCGACCCCCTCCTCCTGCTGTGCCAGGCGTTGACCACGTCGGTCGCGTTCTGGTACGGCCTAGAAACGTTCCGGCTCCGGTCAAAGGAAGCGGACATGGTAAGGCAGAGCTGAACCCGTATCCCAGCAGCGTTGACCCTGTTGCTCCGGATTGCCTCTTCGTAGATGGCCTACAAATCCTGCAGCAACCCCGTCGCTACCCTTGCCCATGCGTGTCCTGCTTCCACCATCCCCGCAGGCACCGCCACCACTCCTGCCGGGCCCTGGAGCCGACCCCTCCTCACTGGATGCCGCCCAGCAGCAATACTACTACCAACAGCAGCAGCAACAACAGCCGGGCGCTGGGGGCTATCCGCCGCCACCTCCGGGGTCGTCCTTCCTACCACCCGGTGCGGATTCGTACTACCCCTGGAGAGGCGATGGTACGTCAGAAGCGTCCGTATCTGGCCAAGCAGGAGTAGGAGGGCTGTACGGCAGCAGCGGTGGCAGCGCCGCGGGAGGCCCAGGCGGCAATCCGTACGCGGAGACAATCCAGTACGACTATTACGGAAATCCGGTTCTTCCGCAGCAGTCACAGCAAGAACAGCAGCCGCTGTACGACAGTTCTGGGTACGACGCATCAACGTCGTACGGGAGCGCGTCGCCGTACGGTATGCCACCGGTAGGGGACAACGGCTCGTTGATGTACGGACAGCAGCTGTCGGACGCTGCTCCCGGGGGCCCTGCAGCAGGAACCATGGGGCAGTACCCGGGAGGGGAGCCCTACTCAAATAGCGTCGGTCCGGGGCCGGCCTCTCCCTCTGGACTGTGGGATGCTACGGCAAGCAGTAGCAGCAGCAACAGCGGCAGCACCAGTGAGGCTTACGGCGGATTAGGTCAGTACGGCAATGCCTGGCAGTACGGCAGCGGGGCGGCAGCGGAGGCGGGGTCGGTAGGCGGCGTGTACGGGGCAGGAGCAGCGCCTGCTTCCCCTCCTTGGGGCAATGCCGGTGGACAGTCCCCGGGGCAATCTGGGTTAGCGGGCCCTGGGGCAGGTAGCGCCAACGGTGTGGGTCGGGGCGGTGTGGCGGGTCGCCTGGATTTGCATGAGGAGGTGGATGACTGGGAGTGAGTTGTAGCTGAGGGTGGTTGCGAGGGACGTATAGATCAGTAGGGGGAGGGTAGGCGAAGGGTCGGAGAGGGAGTGGAGGGAGCATAGCGCGTGGGACAATGAAAGGAAGTGAGCAACAAGCGGGAGAGTGCAGGTAGTGTAGGAGTCTGTAATGGAAGTAGCTGTTGGAGGGTGTTGGGGGGCTTTCACAACCTACACAAGTTGCATGGAGCGCATCTTGAAGTAACAAGGGCGATTTCACGGTTGCCGTACTGTGACGTGGGAACCAGCACCGGCAGTCCTTGTCCTCGCATGCATGGCAGTCTTGGCTTAAATGCAAAACATCGGGTTGCATTCCTCATGGACCATGGGGCGTCAACTGCAAAGCTGAAGCAAAGCTTTCATGGCCCAAGGCAACAAATGCCATAGTCCAGACTTAAACAGAGAGCAAGAGAGGCATGGGGCTTTGGTGTGTGCCCTTGATTGCTATGTAGGATAGCTTTGTTGGCCTTGATTTCAGCATGCGTTGGTGGTACTGGATGTATATCCGCGTGGTAGTCGGATGTCCAGGGTGCGTGTCGCGGTTTCTTCTTGGTCGCAACTCGCATGTCCAAGCCACATGCGGGAGGCCGACATGGCGGCAAGCAGGCACCGACCAGTGTACCTGATGAGCTGATGGTTGCTGCGGGAATGGTTCTAGAGGCACTGCACAGGCGCTTACGCCTTTGGCGCTGCCCTTGGCATTTCCCGTCTGGCTTGCCCCGTCTTCTCGGCAGGTTGAGGGGCGTACATGAACAGTTGCATTACCGGTATAACCTTTAGTAAATTCGGACTAGCTGCTGCCAGCTAATGCGAGATGTGTCCCTTGGCTTCCCAGCTTACGTTTGGCGACCGTAGGTTGGTCTATCGTACGGCCGAGACAGCATGGCAGCAGGCCAAGAGTCTGCATTGCCTCTGTATATACATGTTTGGCTCAAAACGTAGTATATTGAAGGCAAGACACAACAACTTTGAAACCCGAAGGTCGCATTCCCAACCGCCACATGGTATGCAAGTCCTTAATAGCGCAATAGACTTGCTGTCGTAACTTGAAAGCCAAGGCATTCTAACCTATAGTGGTTGGCTGTGGATGCAACTGCCGAAGCGTCAACGGACATCGCATGTTGCAAGCCATTTCGAAGCACCTCTGTTGCTAAACAGCCCTCCACTGCTAAATTAATAAGGTATGGTTCGATAATGTTCGAGTCGTCTCTTTGTGACAATACCTAGGAGGGAGGTGAGAGAAGTCATGGTTAGCAGGTCCCTGCAAGCTGAAGGCATGGCAAGCTTTTTATGCAAGCCATAAACAGGGGGGCTAGAAATCTCATTTTAACATTTTAACATTTTAACGTTGGCCAACTACGCAATTCGCAGGTAACTGCAACTGCTGAGCCATGCATAACCATGCGCCCATTTCTTGAGGATATGCCCCCCTTGTGCCTGCCGCTTTTTGAACCGCAGTCATAACTTCCGACATTGCAGCTTATTAACCGAGAGGCTGTTGACATGGAGCAAGCTGATTTGTTCGCTCGCCTAGACGCCGTGGTCAACGACATGCAATGCCCGCTCTACCGTGGAACGTTATCACAAGATCGGATGGCGGCCATGGACGCACACGCGCGCGCCTGCCCCACATCTGCAACCCGCTCCATAGCCGACCTCGCGACCTACCTGGCCTCAGCAGCAAGGAGCCCCGAGGAGAAGGTCCGCGCCATCTGCTTCTGGCTGCACCTCAACGTGCGATACGACACAGAAGCCTACTTCGGCGGAACCGTCCGAAGCATGACTGCCGATGATGTACTGCGAGACAGGTAGGCAGTGTTTGCCGTACATCGTCGCGTTCTTACGTCTTGAACAGAGGAAGGCTGCACATACACGTATGCTGCCCGGCGGTGGTAGGGCCCTGCATGCTCTAGGGCCGGGCGCACATGCCAAGTGCGTGCTTCTGATCACGTTTGACAACTTAAAACTTGCCGCCTCACCCTTTCAATCCTGTCAAACTGTCTCCCAGGTGTACGGTATGCCATGGCTTCTCGCGGCTCATGGCAGCGCTGTGCAAGGCTTGTAACGTGGAGTGCAAAGTGATCTCCGGTTACGTGAAGGGCGTGGGCTACACCCGAAATCTTTCCGGTACGACGGTCACAGCCTCCTCAGGCATCAAGTATGAAGCCAACCACAATTGGAACGCGGTTAAGTTGTACGTCCCTTCGAGGCGCAAGGAGCGCTGGCATCTTGTGGATCCGACCTGGTGCGCCGGCTACACCAACGGTACGACATGGATTCAGGAATGGGGCCGGCAGTACTACATGGCAGATCCGCTAGCCTTTGCGCAGTCGCACTTTCCGGAGAACCTTGCCTGGACGCTGCTACCAGAGGATTACCGACCCACTTGGCACACGTTCGTAAAGGTCGCAAGGTTGCGGTTTCCAGTTTGCTGGGAGTTGGGCGTGCTGCCCATTTCGCACAAGCAGCTGCTGTTACAAGACGCGTCAACATCGGATGAAGGGCTTCGGATCGTGTTTAAAGTGAAGAAGGGAACTCACATGTTGGCGAAAATCGACGACAGCAACCAGCAGATTTACCCAGCAACCCTGTCAGGCGTCAACGAGCAGCAGTACGGCAACAAGAACAGCGATCTGCTTGCCTTTTATATCAAGGACGTCGCAGTTGCCTGTAATGGCACGGATGCATGCAAAGTGTTGAAGTTCTTTGCTTCTCATCAAGAGTACGGCACGTATGCCTGGGTTACGGAGTATGTGATTGCTTAACATTGCTTGAGTATTTATTTAATGTATGTCGATGATAGTTTTTAAAACGGCTGCAGTACACCACGGACAGCGTTGTTTCTGTTCCCGGCAAGCAGCATGTTGCGTACTGCGGGAGCAGGATCTGTACGATGCTATCGGCTGCAGTACGCCGCTGTGGAACTGGGTGGCAGTGGTGGAAGTGTGACGAAACCAGCGATGCAGGTGGGATTATGGGTAGCAATCCTCCTCCGCCTCCTTCAAGGCCTCCCCGTAACACGGGCTAATTCGGCAATTTGGCTTGGCTAATTCGGGCTGGGCGGGTCGGGCTGGCTCACATGTTGCAACCCATGTTGACGCCTTATCCCTCAGTCAGTTAGTTGTTTCCTCTTTTCCCCGTAACACGGTAATCATGTAACCAACGCCCCGCACCGCCCTCGACGGCTAGCCTGCCTGGAGGCTGCAAAGCGTCGGTACGGTAAGCTTGGAATGCCATATATAGTCTGTAGTGCCGACGTTGATGATTGGCCATATGAGCAACTTGTCGTGCCAATTTCCTGGAGTGCTAGCTTGGCCGTATCTCGGTCAGTGTACGGCAACCGGGTAACGAACCGGCAGTTGAGCCGGTCTACCCCAGTCTCTATGCAGCTCCCCGACTTGTGCTTTCGCAGATTTTCCGCCGGTGCCACTCCAGGGTAGGCCGCGTCACAGTACTGTGATTCATTTGTCACGCAAGATCATTCTGAGGACAATCCACAACAGCTTCTTTTCCCAATAGTCGCAATCCTTGCCGCCGCTTGGTACCATCATACAAGCCTAAGTAGGCAAGACGGCCTAAGCAGCCGTGCAAGTTGTTGTTTATAATTTATCGACGACACAATATACGAGAATGGTTTAGCTCCGGAGGGCGCTGCCGAAGCGTGAACGGACATCGCATTTTGCAAGCCGCTGCAAAGCACTTCTGTGGATAAGAAGCCACCTAAAACTACGTTTACAAGGTATGTTGGTCATTTTTTGTTGCTATGGGGCAATAGATTGGAGGAGTAGGTGAGAGAAGTCATGATTAGCAGGTCGCTGCATGCTGGGACAGCTGATAGAATGCGAAGCTTTCTCTGCACAACTAGAACAATATAAAGCAACTATAAGTCTTCAATATATACCTTCTGGCACAACGGCGGCCTTTAACATTTGAGCCTTACTTTCGCCGTCTTACTTGCCCTGCCTGTGCCTACTGCTGTGACGTCGCAGTCAGGATTTACAGACATCCTTACTTTCTGACTGCGGACATGGAGCAAGCTGATTCGTTCGCTCGCCTAGACGCCGTGGTCAACGACATGAAATGCCCGCTATACCGTGGAACGTTATCACAAGATCGGATGGCGGCCATGGACGCACACGCGCGCGCCTGCCCGACATCTGTAACCCGCACCATAGCCGACCTCGCGACCTACCTGGCCTCAGCGGCAAGGAGCCCCGAGGAGAAGGTCCGCGCCATCTGCTTCTGGCTGCACCTCAACGTGCGGTACGACACAGAAGCCTACTTCGGCGGAACCGTCCGAAGCATGACTGCCGATGATGTGCTGCGAGACAGGTAGGCGGTGTTTGCCGTACATTGTTGGGGTTTATAAGTCCCGTCGGCATACGCTGGGAACTGAGGAATCCGCACATACACTTCTACAAGTACTGCCCGATGGTACGGCCCTGTCTGCTGGCCGTACATGCGAATTGCATCTTTATTGTTTCACTACTTGTCGCTTTCTTTCTTTCAGTTGGTTCACTTCCCTGTCAAATAAACTGTCGCCCAGGTGTACGGTTTGCCATGGCTTCTCGCGGCTCATGGCAGCGCTGTGCAAGGCTTGTAACGTGGAGTGCGAAGTTATCTCCGGTTACGCGAAGGGTATGGGCTTCACCCGGAGTCTTTCCGGTACGACGGTCACAGCCTCCTCAGGCATGAAGTATGAAGCCAACCACAACTGGAATGCGGTCAAGTTGTACGTCCCCTCGAGGCGCAAGGAGCGCTGGCATCTTGTGGATCCAACCTGGTGCGCCGGCCACACCAACGGTACGACGTATATCCAGGAATGGGGCCGGCAGTACTACATGGCAGATCCGCTAGCCTTTGTGCAATCACACTTTCCGGAGAACCCTGCTTGGACGCTGCTACCAGAGGACTACCGACTCAGCTGGCAGACATTTACGAGGGTTGTTAAGCTTCGTTTTCCGGTTTGCTGGGAGCTGGGTGTGCTGCCCATTTCGCACAAGCAGCTGGTAATTCAAGACACGTCTACGTCGGACGAAGGGCTTCGGATTGTGTTTAAAGTGAAGAAGGGAACTCACATGTTGGCCTCATTCACCAACAGCAACCAGAAATTCTACCCAGCAACCCTATCAAGTACTAACGGCCACGGCAACTCCAACTTGTATGCCTTTACGATCAAGAACGTCTCCCGTGGAGGCGCGGGTGCAGTTTTGAACATCTTCGCCTCCCACCAGCCGTACGGCACGTTTTCCCACGTTACGGAGTACGTTATCGCTTGACAGGGCTAGCTATGGAAGTATGACGGTGACGTCGCTGATACGGATTGGCACACAGATATGAGCAGCGGTGATTCATTTCTCGCGAGCAGCGTGCTGCGCATAGTTCGAGCGGGATGTGTACGGTGCTGATCCGCTGCTGCATGCCGCTGTGGAACTGGGTGGCAGAGGTGAAGTGTGTCGGACTAACGTTCGTGCATGTGGGTAGCGCTCCTTCTTTGCCTCCTGAGCCATCCAAAAGGGTGCACCCATACAACCGCCTACTTGCATCACGCCTTGGGCCGGCTAACGTGGTTACTTAAGAGCAGCCGGCGTTCCTGTCTGACAGGTTAGTTGGCGCAAAACATTTGTTGTTGCGTACGTCACAGCATTTCATAACTCACCAAAGGCAAGCCGGCATGGTGGCCTCATCAATGATTTTTGCCTAGGCGTTTCATACCTTCGACCGAAATGCGCTCTATTTTATGTATGCGAGCTATGAGAGAGGTGCAAGTCTGTTGAAAGTGCTTACTGACACGTCCTCAACACCGGTATCCACATCGGAAGTAAATGCGGCTGTTCATGCATGGCAACAGGTGTGTATGGAGGCGTGTGTCCGGCAAGGGTGTCCTTAAGCACCCTCGCTGTACTTGTTTATTTGCCTCGCCAGCCCTCTTGTGTAGCTTACAGCACTGTCAGGCGGGTATAAAATCTGATCCCTCGAATTCCTTCCTCACCTCTGTGGTCCAGTTTGCTAATGGTACGGTGTTGGTAGGTAGTGGTGTACGGCAGGTCTGGATGATTGACCGTTATTGCAGTGATCCCAAACCGGAAGGCATGGGCCTGATGTGTGAGGGACATAATCCTCCAGTGAATGAAGTCGTTGCGCTTAAATCTCGACAGACTGAAATTTTGCTTCTTGGGGACTTGGGGTTTCACTGGGTTAGTGTCAGTAGTGACATTTGGGGTTTGTCAGTGGCTTGTACGGCAGTGGCTTTAGCGGAAAAATGAGTTAGCTTGGTGTCTTGATTATTGGAGCAAGCGGTTCCTGACAGCGGAGGACCGTCGTCCTCTTCTACCGTATTCTCTGTCGGGCTAACGGTACGGCAGCTTGCAGCTCTGCTGCATGTGGCGACCTGGCATAGGAAGCATTGAGGTTTACTGCAGGGTGATCAGTTAGGAGAGTTTGGCAAGCAGGTTCTGGCAAGTTGCTAAATTTGTTGGGCACCTGTGTCGGCAAGATGGGGAGGGGCGTGCTGCAAGTGTTGCAGATAGACTGTTACCAGGTCACCCGCTGAGTCACCCCGGGGCAGATGGGCAGATGGTTTTGATGTTTTGCCTTCCTTAGACGTTGTTCGGGCTCGCTTTGCTTGTTGGGGAGCCCTTCTTGTTCGTTCAACGGTGGTGGCTGGGGGTCTATGCATCCTTGACAACGTGCTCTGATTTCAATTTTAAGGATTTGCATCCGGCTTCTAGTCCCCTGGCGTTTTCCACGACTAATATGGCGGGGCCATGGCTGGGGGTAGATAGTTTGCCGGAACATATCCAACGTGTAGTATTTTCTGTGTTGGTTTCACCGCTTAATACCGACGTATTGTATCCGGATCCTTTGAAACCGGGTTGTTGGTGTTGGGGTGTTCCGTTTTTGCCTGTTGGTGTGATGGCCTAATCAGGCATGTTGGGTTTGGAATACTGTCATCCGGTCCTAGTTCATTGCCATGCCCTTCGTGTATGTACTGTTGTGGCAGTTTTTAATAACTATAGTTTTGCAGTATAAGGATGCTCAAGATAAGCTTTGTTGTATGGAGGATGCGGAGATCATGTGTTGATGGTCATATCTCATCCTTCGGCTCCTATCCGGTTCTTTCGGTTGCCTCTGCGCGTTGTTCCCTGCCCAGACTCCATGGTCTGCTGCTGTCACTAGAAAACTTGTTGGGTGAGGTGCCCGCGGCTTGGGTGACGGCAGTGGAGGCCCAACTTAGTGACAACGTACCGCCCCGACTGAAGGCAGGTTTTGATTCCCCGTATATGGGGTGGAGTTGCCGTATACGAAGGAATGGTCCCTGTTCGAAAGGCCACGATTCTTCAGCTGGATAGCATGTTTGGAGAGTGTTGCTGGATGCCTCCATCAAAGGAGCCGTAGAGTAACATGGAAAGAGCTTTCTCTTGGCGTTTTGGACAGGCTCCAAGAATACCGGTATTTAGTGCCCTTAGAAGGTCAGGGGGGCGAATAGGAGGCTTTTTGGCGTTTATCCAATGGCTGGATTCCCTTGCCCAGGAACTCCTGCATGTCTCATGCTCGCCCTGAGCGCTGTGGCTGGTTTTTGTGGTGCTGGGGGCTGCTCCACGGCTGCAGTACTTCTGGGCAAGACGATGCTTGGCATCATTTAAGCAAGGAGGCATCATGCTTGCTTGGCAGTATAAAGCAGTAATTCGGCATCAGTGTACGGCGACCGGCAGTTGAGCGCATCTGCCTGGAAAGTCAGAACCGTCGAACATTTGCATTGCAGCTCAATACGAATCCGCAAACTCGGCCTTCTGTCACAGAGCTTTTATGTTCCAATGAGCCAGACGATTATCGTCGGGAAGTGCCCCATCACAGGCTCCACCGGCAGCAGCCCACCACCCTCCAGCGCCACCGGAAACACACGGGACACCGTCTTCTATGCGCCGATATGTGCATGCGCCGATATGTGCTATGCTTCTGAAAAACTGGTTCACGGACAGACAGCTACCGGTAGCCTGTATAGGCCATCACACGCATGCAGCGGCTGCACGGTACTAGTGGACGCCCATTCCTCACTAGTTCATACATTTCCTTCACCTCGTGCGCTCGAAAAAGTGCCTAAAGCAGACACCATGCAAATCACCAACATCGAAGTTCCACCCGCCTACCAAAGCCCCCTCCTCGCCGCGTCCCAGTCAACACGGGAGCAACCCGGAAAACGACAAGGAAAGGCTGCATGTCCCGGCCAGAACACTACTTCGCAACAATCGTTGTACGGTGGCCTTGCTCCTCATTGTACTGTACCTGAAGTCAAGGGCCTTTTGGGGCACACACTGCATACGCTGCTACCACCATCAACACACCATCGACCCTGTCCGAGAAGTCAAGTAGGACGTGAATGCGTTGCCTGCCTAGGCCATCACTTCCGCCTCTCCTACGTCCTACCTCTTTACATATCCGATCCTAACAGCCGTGTCCCTAGTCTCCTACCGGCCGGCCCCACTCGAAGCTGCCCTGAAGGGGGCCTCACACCACACCCGCCACACGAGAAGATAAGCACCCTGTCTCACGAGACCCACCAACCCATAACACGAGGAATATTCCCCTAGTATTTATTATTCCAGTGGCCGCACTTGCGGCAGTCCCTTCTTCCCAACGCATGTGCACCAGAAGGTATCTATACAGCATCATCAGCAGTACTCAACAGGCATCCGAGGCCTGGCAACGGGTATAGAAAGCAAGTACATCACCTTAACCAGACATAACTACACCGCATAACCCCACCAGAAGTAGCTAACATGCTCACACCTGCTTCCCCTCCCAGACAACGTAGATGTGCTGTAACAACCCAAAACATATGCCCCACCATGCATCCCCTTTTTACCACCTGGTCACGTGTATCACAAGGTCAGCGACGCGCCAAACTCCCTACCGGTCAACGACTGCATGCTTGCTCGGGTTACGGTGCTACTTGTAACCGTCCTCTATACAAGGGTCATAATAAGACAAGGCACGCCTCTCGGCGACGTGCAAACAAGCGAGCGATCCCTGCCAGCCAAAGCTCACATACGCACACATGCGGCCATGGCACGGCAGCCGCCCCGCCTAACCCCGCACCCTCCTTCTCCCCACTCCACAGCGCCGTACGCTACTTCCCCCGCCCTGCGTTGGCAGCGCCACCCCCTGCGCGACCTGGGCGTGGCGTGGGCTGCGGCCCGTCTGATCGCTCCGGCGGCGGAGACTCTGACAGTTCGCCCATCACTCGCTTCTGTTGCACCACCCACTTCTTGATGTAGTCGAGTTCGGAGCGAATGGCACGGAATTCGCCCTCCTGACGCTCCTGAAGCCCGCGTATGCGGGGCTCGACGTCGCGCTTCATGGCCTGTGCGTTCGGGACGGGTATGCGGTCAGCATGGGCGACGCTATGGAGAGGTGCTGCGATTGAATCCGGGATGATGACGTAAGGAGGAAGTGGAGGCGTAAACGCGGGCTTTCTTGCATGCTACAGCAGTAAGTATGGCTGTGGCAGACAGGGCAGAGAGCAGACTATGCACAACCCCCCCATGTCACATGTAAGCGAATTAGCTCCATACGTAACCGTGATCTCTTCGCGGGCCCCTGGGCTTATGACGTACTGTACAAACAAATGCGCATGGGTGTGCCTCCATGTGGGAAGTTTACAGAAGGTACGCACCTCGGAAAAGGCCCGCATGCGGCCCTTCCAATCGCCCTCCCCCGTTTCGGAGCTGGCCATGAACTTGTTGAACTTGTTGTCGGCAGGCACCAGCACGTGAAGGTAATCACCCAGCAGCCGCTCCTGAAGGGCGGGTGGGGGCCGAGGAGGGGGGAAGAGGGGCATTACCGTGGGGAGAGCGGGATACCGAAGTCGCAGACCAACCGCTCGTGGCAGCGTGAAAGGGGCCAGGCGGGAAATAGAGCATGGTGAGGAGGCCAGGATGGATGGATGCATGCATAGGATATTGTCTGTGCCGTGCCGAGCATCTTCACACGCACCTGCAGCTTGTCACGCATCTCCTTTGTAAGCAGCGACTCCAGATCCACTATCAGGCGCGCACGGTTGTGCAGCACCTCGATCTCCTCCGTCTCCTTGATCCGGTCGTACGTGTCATTCATGATGGCAATCAGCAGGTTCACCAACACGATCAACATCAGGATGCCGTACACGCTCATCAGCAGCACGCTCAGCCGGGACACGTACCTGCGGAGTACAGATCAGCGAGGACCAACCCACGTATCACCACGGAGCGGAAAGGATTGGGTGTGAGAGCGGCATTCGGACTCGGGCCGTCGACACAATGGATTACAAAGGACGGCCAGTAAGCGCAAAACAAAGGAGGGTTGCCAAGTCCTGTTGAAGAGCTGCACAAGCCCTCGACCCCTCTCGTGTGCCTCGCAACCCCAACCGCACCCGCAACCCCTCCAGATACCTCAAACACCCCCTCTCCACACCCGCACCCACCACATGTCCTCCGTGTGCATCATGTCCAGCAAGTAGTCGTACTGCCAGTCGCCCAGCATCACACTGAACAGCTTGAACGCCACCGCCTCGTAGCTGTTGCTGGGGCCCTGCGGGGGGTCGCAGTGGTGGTAGGGAGGTGGCAGGAGGCGGTGGTGGTGTGGCCAAGGCAGGAGGGGGGGTAGCAGGAGATAGAGTGGTGAGATGGCCAAGGAAGGGCAGTGATGACGAGTTAGAGCCTTGGGAGCCTAGCAAGGAACAGCACCAGCAAAACAGCAATCACGCGGAACTCAGGTGACAACCTGCGGCTCCTGTACGGCAAAGCAGCGTACGAAATACTGGTACTCACCAGCAGTACGGCGAAGGCGATGGCAAAGCCGCTGAATATCATCCCGAGCAGTGTGAAGAAGTATCTCATGTCTTTAATGATCTCGATCACCATGCGCATCAGGCTGCCCATGGAGTCGGTCATGGAGGCGAAAAACACCAGCCGGATGAACAGTACGAGCGTTTCAACCGCTCCAACCGCCAGGATGACGTCGTACCGGTACGACGACCACACCATGCCGAACAGTACGACAAAGAGCGCGAAGGAGGTCACGTCCACTATGTTGCCCAGGTAGTTGCGCCAGGTGCGCCACGTCAGCTCCATCATCTGTGAAGTGTACGACACGAATTGTTTGTGGTACGGCAAGGTATGCTGTACGACGTAGGGCTCCATGGGGGTTAAGGAAAAACGTTGACATAAAAAATGGCACCGGAGCCAACCTCATGCCTGCGCATCCATATGCCCAACCCCACCCTAGTGGTTGCTAACAGCATCCCGCCCCCACCTGCGACGCCTCCTCCAGCAGTCCTCCGAAGCTCATGAGCCCCAACACGATCAGCAGAGCCATCACCTCAGGCCGCTGGTGGATCTGGGGGGGGGCATGCGGTGGTGGGGCGCATGCAAGAGGCCGGGTGGGGCGGGTTTCAAAACACACCTTTCGACATGTGAAACCCGGGTGTGGGGATGCGCGGAAGCAGGTAGAGACGGCATTCCTTCCCGCCGCCGGTGAATAAGGGAGGCGGGAGCTCACAGCCCCTCTGTGCGCTGCCTCCACCACCTCCATATCGCTCCCCAGCACAGCCTTAACATGTCCCCAACTACCCGCACCTTGTCCGTCTGCCCCTCCTCCTCCACCCCCGCATGCCGCAACACCAGCAGGAACCCGCCGTACAGCGCCATGAAAATGACGTGCGCGAGTGCCGACATGAGCATCAGCATCTGACCAAACTCCTCTGTTTTCGGGAGGGAGGCGGGGAGAGAGTGGGAGGGAAGATGAAGAGGCGCGAACGGCCAGAACCAATTGAGCAGCAATACGGTATTGAGGCTTCACAAGCGATTGCCTTACTTGGTCGTGAAGCCCCCCTGCACGACACAGCGCGCCATGCCCACCACCACCCCAACGTACACAACCCCGCCACAGCCGCCATACTCACGCCACTGCACGGTGATTGCCGCCTTGACCGCCGCAAAGCCGAACCAGCGCACCGGCACGTCCACGTCGATCAGTCCCGTCAGCATGCCGCGCACGCTGCCCATGTCCGCGATGCCCTTCCAGGGAATCACCTGGCACCATCGCGGCATGCAACCAAAGGATGGCAACGATACGGTAGTAAAACGGTAGCAGGAGGAGGACAAGCCAGGCAAGGGGGTAGGTCCGTGGGATGTCGGGTAAATGGAACGGAAAGGGGAGCAAAGCGGAGGAAAGAGGAGCGAGGGCGGTACCGGTGGAGCCTCGTCACATGGTCGGTTTTCCTCTCTCCCCAGCTCTACCACCCTTTTCCCCAAGCCCCGCCAGCTACCCACCAGCGCCCGGGCGTCCACGCTGTGTTGCTTGGCGCTGGTGCCCCACTCCCAGCCCATGCGCCGCCACAGCACCCGCGTGCTGTCCTTGAGGTACAGCAGCAGGTGCATGAGGAAGAAGACGGGCCAGCGGTGCAGCAGGAAGGGCCGGCACACGAAGGCGCTGCGACCAGGATAGATTGAAGGGGTGGAACACGGAAGGGGAGGTGGGAGGTGGGAGGAAGCCAACACAACCCGGGTGGCGGTGACGGCCAGCATGAGGGTAATGATGGGAATAGAGGGACAGCAAGGAAGCATCAAATGTAATCAGCTGCAGCAGGGTGGCAACAGGACAGCATGGACAGGACAGGGCCCCCTCCACGTTTCCATCCCACCTCAGCACCAGCTTCTGGTCCTGCCGCTGCTTCCGCGCCCAGCTATCCACCTCCTGCTGCTTGTCAATGTACACCTGCGTGTCCTTCAGCTTGTTGTCGTACGCGCTCTTGAGTGCCGTACACAGCGGGTCGTTGGGCGCGAAGATGGTGTCGATGAACTGCGTGGGAATGTGTGGGGGCGGGGGGACGCACAAGGGTGCGGGGGGTTGGCACGGGGGTAATGGTTATGGGGTTAATTTCGTATCGGCTGGAATTGTGCCTATCTTGAGGTTGGCAGCGTTGCCAGCGCTCCCGAGAGGAGGCACGCTGGTCGGGAGAGGAAGGGAAGGCCGCACAAGGGGTCTGCTACTGCAATAGCCGAAAGGATTTTCAGGTGTTGTACGTCCTCCCCTGTTTCCTGTTTACCCAATCCCCTGTTCCCTGTACCTCCCCCCTTGCTGGGTGAGTGCCCCTTACCTTCTTGTCCCAGGGACGTTGCGTCCAGGTGCTGCCGCTCTTGACGCCCTTGCGCCAGTTGGTCAGCAGCAACTGCGGGAGGCGGAAGATGGGGGGTTGGGGGTTAGGGCTTGAGGCAAGGCCCGGTCGGCTAGGACTGCCAAGTAGGACAGCACAGCGAACAGCCCAGGCAGCGACAGCGCGCACAGCATGGTCGGCCGCGGCGCCGTACTGCCGTACCGTGCTGTCGTACCTGAATGAAGTGTTTTGTGTAGCAGGGGTAGTAGAGCTCCTTCTTGTAGTTGTTGTAGAGCAGGTTGCCGGGTCGGAAGTTGATGTAGGTGGTTGCCTCGTTCATGGTGCCTGTTGGTGGGAGGAGGGGTTAGGAAACACACAGGAGGCGACACAGGTAGGCAACAACAAATGTATGCTAGGAATGGGACGTAGGGAGGGGGCCGGTAAGGACTATGTAGAAGTTGGGAGGGCATCGGCAAGAAGGGCCGTAGATGTGTAAACGCACATGCACCAAACACATGACTGAAGAGCGCCCGTCATGGTAAGGCAGTAGGGACAGACGCCAGGACTCTCGAACACCACCCAGCCCTCACCCCGAACCTGGCACCCTTCCGCCCCCGAACTATTCCAACCCCCCCACCCAAACGTGCTCACGTGCTTCCTGGATCGCCTCCACAATTCGGAAGCTCAGCTTCTCTTTTATCATGTCGCGAATGAGGTCCGTCATGGAGTCCGCCTTGAAGTTGTCCGCCTCCACTTCAGAGGGAGGCTGCACACACAGGGAGGAGGAAAGGGGAGCAGCAGGACCGGCATGGCAGGTGACACGAGGAGTACCCCAGGGGGTGCGTCGGAGGCAGGAAAACAGGAACGGAGTACAGGCACAGTACAGAGATTGGCTGATCCAGATCCCCTCACATCTCCGGTCACCAGGGGCCCGAACTACCCAGGTAACGTGGTCAGCCATCGCACAGTATCCATCGAAGTAAGATATCCATAGAACGTAAGAAACACGCAAGAAGCTACGTTAGCGCTGCGAGCCGCGAGCCAGCGACACGGCACCGGTAGCAGCAACAGCAACAGCAGCTGCAGCACTCACATACTTGCACACGCGGATAATGTCCACCACCGCCGGCAGCTTGATGTCATTGGAGATGAGCACCCGGATCTCATCGCCCGTGAACTTTTCCTCGATCAGCGCCGCGAAGTCCTCCCGCGTGGCGTTGCCGTCGAATGCCGCCTTGTAGGTGCACTCGAAGGGAATGCCGTAGTCCACCAGTGCGTCCACAACTCGCTCCGAAAAGCCCTACACGGCAAGATTGGGGAACGGGGATGGATGTCAGGACTACGATACCGCAAAAGCATGGGGCAAAGCCGAAAGGTGGATGCAATGGACTGACAGCGTTGGCACCAGGAGGTTTGACGGCTTCGACCTATGCCACCTTCACCGAACAGGCAAACGTCGTTAAAGGACGCATGCATGCGGCGTCATGCAAACCCACCTATGCCCGGCAAGCCACATGCACGCAACCCTCATGCATACCTTCTCGTCCGCCAGGTGCTGCATCTCCGGCGCGCGCCACGTGAAGTGGTTGCGCACGGTGCTGCACTTGACCAGCTGGTCCTTCCGCAGCAGCAGCTTGGCGGCCACCTGCAGCGTCACCAGCTGCTCCAACACGTCGCGACTCACCTGGGGTAAGTAATAAAGAGGGGAGGGGAGGGAGGGAGCAGAGCAGAGGGTTGGGGTATCATGATGGGGTTGATGATGTTGGGCTGGTGGTGCGGGTGGATCGGGAGTTTGCAATGCGTAGGAGGTGGAGGCGGGGCAAGGTGGTTGATACCGGGAGGCAGGCGGGAAAAGAAACATGAAAAGAAAGATTTGCATGCGACAGAACTAGGAACCTGACGGGTGCGACACCGGGACTTGGCAGGATCTAGACAAAAAAACCCGACCACCCGGGGTATCCTCCCACCAGGTTTAGCAGCTTGGCACAGCCCAGCGGGAAGCGCCTGGACAGGTCCTTCAGCAGCTCCGTGCTGATGCCCGTGATGAACACCGCCTGGGGAGCCAACAAGATGGCAGCAACACGGTCAAACGGCAAGAAGGCAAGGCGAGAAAGCAACGCAGCCGTCAGGGGCAAGTAACGTGTAATGGGCAGCGCCAAGCGAGTCCGTCATTGCAGGCAGCAGCAAACGACAGTTCGCACACCTAACCACCTCCTTCGCTAGCCTCCGTCCCTGCTCACCCTTCGGTCCTTGCTGTTCAGGTTCACCCAGCTGGTGATGCTGCGAACCGTGGCTTCCACGTTCATCGACTTGCCCGCATGCACCGCCGCCCGCAGCACCCGTGACACATTCAGCGTTTGGACCGCCAGCTCCGAGGATTCCGAGGAGGATTGCCGCCCGTCCGTGCCGTCGCCGGTGCTGCTGAGCCGTGGGTCACCGCTAGCGGCGCGCTCCTCCTTACCGCTGGCGCCACCGCTGCTGGCGCCGTCAATGCCCCGCGCGCTGCCGCCGCCAGCACCCTTGCCTAGGAGCTGACACCAGCTGCCTCGTGAGGCGGTGGTTCGTACGGAGGCACGCAACCTGACGGAGAACTGGTGTATGAGCTTGGAGGCTATGTGGCTGCGAGGCGAATAGCGGGGCGGGGTGCAAGAGGGGAAGGCAGAGTTGGGGCAAGGATGAATCGTGAGGGGAAGGCGAATGGGTGGGAAAGGACAGGTGACATGAGCCGGAGTTCGCACCAATACCGTCACCAAGCCAGCTCGCACCTGTTGCCGTCCGTCAGGCTGCTGTTAGGCGAGACGGCGGCGGGCCGGGTGTCCCGTGGGTCGACCACAACGGCGGGCCCCTCCAGCTTGGAGTCCCGCAGCATGGCCAGCAGCCGCTCGCGACTGCTGTCGGACTCGGTGAAGCCCTGCGCGTGGGGGCATGCATGCATGCAGGGATGGGGGCGTTGAAGGTTGGGTTTGGGTAGGTGATCGGGTGTTAAAGTTACCGTCCTCTGATGGGAAGGGTGCAGGGAACGAGGGAAGTGACAAAGTGCTGAGGAATGGTGGACGTGTTGGTTGGCTGCTAGGTGGGTGTTTGGGAGTGCCGGGCGGCTCGGGGTTTGGCTTATGGCACCACCACAACGCATCGGGTTAGGGCTGGGCACAAGCCCGTGAATAGGGGTGATTGCGGTTGAGCGGGTACGGGGAGACGCTGTGGTACCGCATGCGCGTGGCCACTAAGCCTCACGGCCATACGACCCACGCCCGCCTGCCAGCTACAACCCACTACCCTTACCCATTGGGCAGTCCCCTTGACCGCAATGAGCGTGAACATGGAAACCAACTGTGTAGTCCGTGTAAAGTAGCCGAGTACTTCCCCTACTGCCCTGCCCCAAAGTACCACCGCCCCCATCGGAGACCCATCCTTATTGCACCCACCTCGGCCGTCCGCTTGTCCGCGATGAGCATGACAAAGTTCTCAAAGATGGGGTACAGCGCCATGTCGTTGAGCACCTCCTGGTGCGCCTTCTCGAAGAACGCTTTCACTACAACGTAGTTCACCTGGGGGCCAGCAGGAGGGAAAAAGAAATTCCAAAGTGTGGTAGGATAATGATAGGGAGGAGGCGGGCAAGGGGACAGGTGAAGGTAGCAAAGGCGTGGCTTGGGCAGGCAGCAACTGGAGGTAGTAAAAGAGGAGATAGAGAGGAGGCTCCAACAAGCGTCTTGCAACAGCATCAGCAGCAGCAGCAGGAGCAACAAACTGCAATTGCGTGCATCTGCATCGGAATGATGCTATGATGAACAGCGGCCACAACAGCAGCAACGGCGCTGAGCCGTAACAAACACAGCTGACAGACACACAGCCCATAAAGCCCTGCTTGCTTGGTGTCGAATGCCGCGCACCAGCACACAGACTGGCCTCATGTAACCTCAGAAAGTACTCGAGGAGTTAACCTCCGCTGCATTGCCTGCAACGGTATTGACAACGCCACAACCCTCACCGCTTTGAGTCCCTCCACCAGCTGTTGGTAGATCAGGATCTTCCCTTGAGCCGCTGAGCCGTTGCTGACCACTTGGCTGGGCAGGCGGCGGCGCGTCATCTGCTGCAGCTGTTGATGCTGCTGCGGTTGCTCCTGCTGTTGCCGTTGCAGCAGCGTGGGGCTTGAGGGGGGTGGGGAGGCGGCGGCAGTGCCCGGGTTGCTCCGGCGGTTGCTCTTGCTGTTGCTGGCGGCGGGCGGCGGGGTGCTCAGACGCAGGGACTGCACGAAGCCCACAACGGCCAAGTCTGACATGTCCTGTTGTGTCGGTTGTTGTTTGCATGGAGAGGGACATGTTGTTGGGTTCGATGTTGCGGTTGGGGTGGGCAACGGAAAGCGTGGGGTGCATGGACAGATAAGAGAGGACAAACGGTATAATTGGGCTGTACAGCAGCGTACGAACTGGGTCCCCCCCTGGTGCCGTGCTGCGCCATCTTCCGCGACCCCTGCCCCAGCCTCGAAACCGGAACCAATCCAGCCACCACCCCTCCTGAACAAGGAGTTCCCCTGCTAAACTCCACGCAGGGCTGACCCGTGGGTCACTGACCGACCGCGCCTACCTGCAGCTTGTACAGCAGCGCATGGAAGAGGTCGGGGAAGCAAGCAATGAGGGACTCCATGGTGGTGTCCCAGTTGCAGCTGGCCAGTGCGCGCGGGCACTCCTTGCATATCAGGTCCAGCATCATCTTGGTCAGCTTGTAGTTATTGTAGTCAACCGCCGCCTGCACGTAGTGCCAGAGCTCCGTGTGCTTTTCCTGCAGCAGGCAGAAGACAGCAGGGAGGATAGTGGGTATGAAAAGGTTGCTGCCGGGTAGGATCGGTTGGAGTAGCAGGTAGGTTGGGAGGTAGGGCGGAGAGGTCAGGTGGCGAGGGAGGGAGCAGGTGGGGTGAGGGATTGAACGATGATGGGCATCTGATAGCCCTAGAGGAATACGGCTACCGGTATACGTGGCATGCGCATGCAGGAAAGGGTCATGTGCTCTCCCATGCACAAGACTTTACCTTCTCGTACAGCTCTTTGAAGAGGCGCTTGATGATGCCTCCGACCGCACCACCCGCCTCCGCAGGCGGAACCGCGGGTGCCTCCTTCTCCGCGGCTTTATGACCCTCGTGGGCTGACCCATGGGTCTGGCCCGTCACCAGCTTGTTTATCGCCGTGAATATCATGCGCTGCAAATAGCAAGGCGGGGGACAGAGTTCGCAGCTTACGAAGTAGGTGGAGAACAGGTGGTGAAGCACTCAGGTGGTATCCCCGAATAACCCGACCAAGCGACTGGAGGCTACTAGAACGACAGCCGCGATCGCCCTGCACCTGACCCATGGGTCGCTAATCCTCCGCACGCACCTGCGTGTAGTCCATGGTACCAGAAGTCACCAGCTTGGACCAGTCCGCCTTCCCTTTGGCCTCCTCCTCCTCCTTGCCAGGGTTCGCCACAGTCGCTGTCTTAGCGCGATCCGCCTTCTCGCGCTCCTCCTGCTGCTTGATTACCTCAATCATCAGCTGGGCAATTGCTGGCGTCTGCGAAGAGCAGACAAACTCCTCAAGGTGGACAACCCTGCTCAATAGCTCTCCGACACACTCAGTATACAAGCCATGTCGGGAGGAAAGCGCCCTTCCCGAGGCACTACCACATTCCCCACAAGCTCCGACAGCATGCTTCCTGGTATTTATCGAGGTAGCCTTAAAGGCCACCTACGCCGCCCCAGTTGCATCTACTACTCACCGGCACCGCGTCGATGTCCCTCACGACCCAGTTCAGCAGCTCCTGCAGCGACTCCAGGGAGGGAGCCACCTGCCCTCGTAGCAGCAGCGGAGGCACGGAAAGGAGGAAGGCGTGAGGCGGGACCGGAGGCGCGCAACATGATAAACGCTTGCACAAGGGGCTGCGCCTGACATGCCCAAGTCCTTAGAAAGGCACAATAAAAACACGGTCGCACAAGAAAGGGCCTGCATTAGGCATCCTTGCAAACAAACAGGCTCTGCCCCTGGCACGCGTGAGGGCAAGGAATGGTACGGCACGGTACGGCATTTCACGGCAGGACCGCACCTGGAAGGCGTTGTTCCGTGTGATGTCCAGGATCTGCGGGTTGGCGCCGTTGCGGAGCAGCAGGACGGCGACGTCGTGCTGGTCGTGGTTGACGGCGCCATGCAGGGCGGTGAAGCGGATCTGCATGCAGGAGGGGTTTGTGCGCACACAGTATGGGGAGGTGGAGAGCACTGAAGGGACATTGCGGGTGCAAGGCGGGCGGGTGCATGCAGGGCGGGCGGGTGGCGCCTGATTTGGGTAGAGCGGGCGGCGACAGGGGCCCGCGGCAACACCACCACGCTGCTCGTTACGTTGACCGCGGGCAAATGGTGGCCGAGGCTGCTTGCATGTACCCGTGCCCATGTGCCATAGCCAGCCTGCCGGGAATACCGCTGCCAGGACGGCACCCCCTAGCTAATCCCCTGGACCTTCGCAGATCCTCTGCTTGCATGCCTAAACGGGGAAGCGGCGGTGCCCCATAGTATCCCGGCTTCCCCAAGGCGGCAGGCCCCAAGGCGGCGACGGATTGTGACCCCAGCATGTGCTCTGCATGGCCCTGCCGCCTCACGTAATCTTTGGCACCGCATGAGCTGTGCCCGGCCTCACAGCAGCATATGCCGGGGGCTATATGCAACAGTTCTCATGCGCTGCTGCCGTTGCCGCCTTTTAGCCGCCTTTGCGGGGTTAGCTCTGCTCAACGTAGGCGGTACAGCAGGCCTCTGGCATCAGGTCAGACGTTACGCCCAGTTGGCATCGGCTCCGTTGCATCAACCGCTGCCCGTACCCGCCACATGCGGCCGTGAATGCTGCTACTGTGGCCAAGCTGCCTCAGCTGCCTCAGCTGCCCTGCCATCGCAGCCAGGCAGCCACCGCTGCAGAAGCCCAGGTGTTGATCGCCGTTTTGCGAAGTTGCTGCTCATTCCAGTCAGCGTATGGACCTGACTGGCGTATGTAGCGGCAGCACGCAGCTGCCATCCTGCATCATGTGTATAGCTGTGGCCGCCATCTTGCGCTGCCGTACCAGCACTGCCCTAGGCGGGCAACCCAAGTGGTTGCTGCTGCGGCCGCCACCACCCAGGCGCGGCTGTCGTGCTGCAGTGCAGCCGGCCACACCAAGCAGCTCCGGAACTGCGGGCTGCATGCTATGCTGCATGCCGCTGCATCTGCGGCTGTAATGCTCTGGGCAAACGAGTGCGGCGCCCTAACCGAACGATACCCACGCCCCATCCTTCTCTCCCTTGACCCCTATCTCCCTGCTCATGTCGGACCTGTCGCTAGGCACGGTCGGGCACCCTACATACCTGCGCGTCCTGGTGGTTTAGGTAATGGCTACGCGCCTTCTCCTTTTCCCTGTCCAGTGCTACCCCTCCGGCTGCTTCTCCTCCGCCGTACGGCTCCAGCAGTACCTCCACCATCTCCTTGTTGCCGTAGGCAGCCGCCAATTGCAGCGGGATGCACCCATACTGCAGCAGCGAATGTACGGCAAAGAGGCCGCCATGTCAGCCGTACGGCCAAAGGCCGTAACCAGTCGATTGAAGCGCAAGTCAACATCCCCACACAGATCTGTTCCTTGCTTCCTGTGGTTGCTAGTACCTGCAGCTCACCTGGTCGTTGATTCTCAAGATGTTGTCATCCCTTTGCCACAAGTCGTCATCCTGCCTTTTCAGCAAGTACCTGCTCACAACACACGTGCGGGGATCTGGATCTGGGCTCCCCTCTACTGCTTTCTGGAAGCCTACGGTGTTCCATAGCGGGCACGTACCGTGCTATCCGCGCGAACCGACGCCTAGCGGCCGGCGTGTCCACCTTGGTGGCTTCCGCGAGCGTCGTCTGCCCCAGAAGCGCGACATAATGCAAGAGCGAAAATCCGGAATCCTGTGCGGAGAAGACAGTCGTATTCAAACATGAAGAAATGACCGCCTGCTTAGACATGCACCATAGGACATTCGTCAATACGCACCTCTGCAAGTGCTCCCTGAAAGCCGGCCGATTCAACCAGTTGCTGTACCCCAGTCGATTCCTCGAGATCGTCTGAACTGAGTCCCACCGAACTGCCTGCTTCACCCAGTAGGGCTGCAGAAGCTCTCCCACCATACGTGCCTCCTTCCGAGTTATTAGAGCCCGCAAACGCTTTCAAAGCAACTTGTTTTATGGTTCCATGCCCATCCCTACGAATACTCAAAACAATGTTCACAGTTCAGTTGACATGGCCATACTAAAAGCCTCTCCATCCATACATAAACTTACTGGGCCATAGGAACCACCTTGTTTAATGGATATGTCATTCATAGGATTAAACAGCATGCAAGTCCATATTGAATTGCCTAGTGGCCTAAATAGCAGCGCCTTATATCATGGTTTGAGTTAACACATCGTGTTGATTGTGCTATACATATCAATGAAAATAGTTGGTAACACCGTCACCGCCTTGGCTGACCGCCCGATACCGTACGATAGCTAGTCTCCTATCGACGCCACGAGCGCCGTTTATCATCACCCAATAGAGGCATTGGAATATAGAGCGTATGACCATTAGGGCTGTCGGCACTATCCTGGGATGCAATCGGCTCATAGTCCCATGCAAGCCGCACGCGAAGGTCAAGCTCAACATGAAGCCGCAGGTTTTACTGGGCGATACACAGCCGGGCTTCGTTTCGTGGAGAGCACTTGTGTCCTCCGGCCATTGATAGTTGCCGACCCCTTAGCAGGGGTTCTTGCCGGAGAGCGTGGCCTAGCACTTGCCCGGCAGGAGCTAGAGCAGCTCACTCTATCCCAGGTATGTTACATCAGAGGTATTAAGGATGAACGCCGCGAACTGAAGCAACTAGCCAAGGTTGTACGCCAAAGCCCTAACCGCTAACCGCTTAGCCTACCCACCATAAGGCAACCCACTACGTGCGGCTGCTTCCACACACTTCCAGGGCCCAGGACGGCACCTGCGTGTACCCGCGCGCAGCCGCTTGATTGATGACTGGCTGGAACGGGAGATTGCAGCCTTGAAGTGCGGCCCTGCCACTGGTAAGCCAGTACCCGTCTGAGCATTCCAACATCTATGGGTTGACGCGAGGGCTTTTGCACATCCCGCTGTACAAGCCTACCTATCCACGCCGCTCCCAAACACGCAACTTGGTTTCAGTGTTGAGTGCCGGAGTGTGTGTATTCGCTAGACGACAGCGACTCCGCAGCCCGCACACCCCCGCACACTCCCGCTTACGCACCCACACGCTCTCTCCCCATCCAGCCTGCCAGGTGGTATCTCTGGGCGCTGGCATGTGCACTCGGCCCTGGCGGCTTGCGGCGCTGTCGGGGTGCCACGTGTTTGAAGTTGACCTGCCACATGTTGCCAGCACCAAGGCGAAGCTGCTGGCACTAGCAGGCGCACAAACAACCCAAATCGAGCCGCTAGGTTCACCCCGACTGCCATCACCGCAACAGCAGCCACAGCTGCAGCAGCCACAAGCATCTCTGGAGCCGCTTGAGCCGCAGAAGCCGGTCTTTCCGCTCATGGCGGCTACTTACGCCTGCGTGGGGGTCGACCTGGCTGCATGCTGCAGTGGCGGTAACGGCAACCCCGACGGCGGCAGCGGCTGCGGTGGAGCTGACAGCGGCAGCGGCTGTGGTGAGACCAACCACAGCGATGGAAGCAACGCCAGCAGCAATAGCAGTAGCAGCCTGGCGGCGGCGCTGATAGCCCAGGGTTTCGATCCGGCCCTCCCCACATTGTGGGTGCTGGAGGCGCTGCTGTACTACATGCCGCTTGCGGCTGCAAGTGACCTGTTGGTGCAGTTGATTGAGGTTTCGGAGCCGAGGAGCCGCCTGGTGGCCACCTGCGTGGACCGGGAGCTGCTGGAAGCCAGCAGACGAGGAGTGCCCAAGGTAGGGAGTGAGTGCTCGGGTGCACAGGTGAAACGGGGCGTGTGCTCTCAGATCTCTCCGTGCGTGTGATGCTTTCTGTGTTGCGGCGTTTTGCACCGAGGTCGTGGTTACCGGTACTTCATGCATGGATGAGTATGTTTACGTGTGTGTGTTGTGTACTGGATGTGCTCGTAAGGCCCAAAAGAGCCAGGAGGCCCATGACTGCTGATCCTAAGTTAAAACCTAGCTGACTCAGATGTGACCATCCATACCGGTAGCAATGATGGCCCGGTTTCCCTCCTCGCTTGTACAGGGTCACGTGTTCGCGGATCTCTGGCACTTTGATGCGGGGGAGCTCTTGTACGGCACGGAGGCATTTGCCGGGCAGCACTGGCAGGTGGACTGGCGGGAGACCGAGCGCATGGAGGGCAGCCAGCAGCAAGGGCAAGAGGAACAGCAGGAGGGGCAGCAAGTGCAGCAGCAGGGGACGGTAGCAGGAGCAGGCGACTCCCAAGGTGACCAGCAGCAGCAGCGGCCAGCCAAGCGCCTGCCCCGAAGCACCCGGCAGCTAGCACTGGAGAGGCTGGGTGCGGACACGTACGTGGCGTTGTACGGCGGTAGTGAGCTGCTTTTCGTGGCGGGAGTACGACAAAAGCAGTAGTTTTGTACGGCTTTAGCGGCTGCAACTGTTGCTGCAATGGCCTTTGTATGATGGGGTCGATGGCATTTGCTGGTTCCATGCACTTCATGTTACCATTTAGAAACAGCTTCAGATGATCGTGGGTGATTGGGGATGGGAGCGGTCGCCCATTAGGAAGATATCGGTGCTAGGGGCAGAGCCACGAACATGTCGAACCGAGGCTCTTACCTTTTAAAGGTAAAATTACAGGAAGTCTGTCTTTCATATGGCTCACCTCCTAGGATCCCTGGGCAGACAATTTCCCAGTGCTATGCAGTAGCAAGGCTAGAAGCCACATGTGTGTGATGGCTTGCTGGCCAGCAGGGCTTCCAAAAGCAGCGGGTTGTTGGATGGTATGGTGTGTAAGGGTATGGATGGTGGCATGCAATGTCACAGAGAGGCTTAGACGACCGGTTCAGCCGTTAGGTACATCGCCTTGGATTAAGCAGAGTGATTCGTAGTGTCAACACTGCCTGATGGCCTTGCTCTGCATTCATGCATTAGGAGAAAGCACGCTTTCCAGAGCAGGATACATACCGGTGTGTGCTGAGCCAGAGGCAAGTGTATGTCGTGCAATGGTGGGCTAGGATGATGTGTGCAACTTTTAAGCGCTGTGGCTGGCTGCGGTGTTGTTTCTGACAAAAGTTGCAGTATGCCTGTCATTGATATGGCGGTGGTGCCAGCGTGCAGACCGCATAGTAATGCAGCTAGAGAGGTGCAAGGCGCTACTTGTTGGTGAGAACTAGGTAGGAGTGCGGTACATATGTGCGATAGCTTATGCCTGCCGGCTTGCTTGCCGTCTGCAACATCACGTCAGTTGACACTGTGGAAACCTCCCATGGTCTCCAAACCTTTTCAACAACAGTTAAGTGGTAAACGCCTTCCTTCTGCATACACGACATCGAAAAACAAGTACATCACACCAACTGACCGTTATAAGAACTATCACACGACCATACATGAATGACCCAAAAGGGAATACGGGTGATGAACCCAACCAACTTGTGAGTTGTGCAGCGTTACACTGACAGGAGCAAGAAGGATTCCTTGGTACCCGTAGCAGTGCTCTTGATGTGTTAGCGTAGCACAAGCTGTTTGACAGGCAAACGTTTATCCCATGGCACCATACACACGAGCTACTTTGGCGGATACGAACAGATAGCCCACATATATTAACGCTATATACAGGGTACATGCATTCTACACAACCGCAAGAACACAGCTGTGGGGGTATCGAGGGTGCACTTCTGGTGCGCTGTAATGCTCACAGAGCGTTACAAGGCACAGGTAAGCAGAGGAATTGCAAAGCCCTGGTGCACCCCCTCACTGATCAGTCATGCAGGCCGCACGGTACATTCTACACAACCGCAAGAACGCTGTGGGGGTTTCAAGGGTGCACTTCTGGTGCACCCCAGGGCTTTGCAATTCCTCTGCTTACCTGTGCCTTGTAACGCTCTGTGAGCATTACAGCGCACCAGAAGTGCACCCTTGGCACAGGTAAGCAGAGGAATTGCAAAGCCCTGGGGTGCACCAGAAGTGCACCCTCGATACCCCCACAGCTGTGTTCTTGCGGTTGTGTAGAATGTACCGTGCGGCCTGCATGACTGATCAGTGAGGGGGTGCACTACTGGCGCACGCCCGACCAATCAGCCATACACGGAATAAGGCTACGGTAACGCACCAAACCCTTCACCTGTGTTCCCTTTTAGGGAGCCATTGTAACAGTCACTCATTCAAACCCAGTCGACGTACTCCGCACAAATTCCCCACACTGTGCACTACTAACCCCACCTCACGGAAACAACCAGTCAACCGAAAACAGGCACAGGCAAGGCCAACACAAGCCCCTGGCCCCGATAGCCCAAACTCACACCCGTCTCTGAGCTTATGCCTGCTATATTTCAAGCTCTAAATGCAGCAGCTGGTACTCATGAGTGCTCGAGCTTATTGTTCATTGTCTGCTGCCATGCGACAGTTGTCTGCACCAATGCAGCAGTTGCTAGCAACTGCTGAGTCATTAAGCTGCAGATGCCGGACCTCACTTCGTGCAAATCGGTCTTCATCATCGCAATCTCGGTCTTCATCATCGTAATCTCGGTCTTCATCATCGTAATCTCGGTCTTCATCATCGTAATCTCGGTCTTCATCATCGCAATCTCGGTCTCCTTCTTCCTAATTGTCTTCATCAGCTCGGGGAGCACAGGAATATCAGTCTCCATCTTCAGGGGGGGCCCGGCAGGGTAGCCAGCCACACTGATTGACAGGAGTAGACAAGGCGGGGAGGGGTCATGGCATGAAGCCAGGAGGAGGGACATGGAAGAAATCGGGACTGACCAGTAGGGGCAACCAAGCGACAATGGGTTTTGTGATGAGCAGCACAAGAGGGAAAGGGATTGACACAACAGTTTCACTTAGGGGACTTGGGAAGCCCGTACAGACGGGACCCAAGCTACCGTACAATGTAATCCATATGCACCATTCCTTCAACATCTGTAACGTCAACTTGTCTCACTGCTAATGCTACTTACTTGGAGCTGCGGGCCACGAAGTCCCAGATGGCAAGCAAGATAAACATCACCCCTCCTGCCAGCTCAGCCGCGGAGCCAGCAAAAGGGTGTAGGTGAACCTGGAGGAAGCACACATGCGGTCAGCTTGGCGGTCAAGGCGTCCTTAATCCAATGCCGCACTGAAAACGCTGCACTGACAACCTAGTGTATGAGCAAGCGGAGAAATGCAGTGCGGCTGTAAACGCACCTTATGCTTCACTGCCAAACGCACGAACAGCGCCATTGCGCACACGAAGCGGATAATTCCCAAAGAAGAGAGCGCCTTCTCCACAAAGGTCTCCTTAGAAGGACCGTAGGCGCTACCCCCAGCAGCCATGGCCGCCACAGCATGCCCACGCCTCTGTGCCATCACTGGCGAACATGGCAAGGCCGTGGTGCTGGTAGGCACACGAGGATGCCGTGGTCCAAGCACTGCCACGGACGGGGTACCTCCTGCAGTGGGAGCAAATAGCGGAAGTTTGACAGGGTTGTGACAGTTGCGCTTTCCGCATGGCGTTTACCGCTGTCATGCTAAACCCAGCTAGCCTTGTCCGGAGGGATGCTCCTTTTAAAGTTGCACTTGAAAATGTTCAACATCCAAGCGTTTCAACGTGAAACTTGTTTACGCTGTTGATGTGACGCTCAAAGGAACTCTCTAAGTGAGCAACACCAGGTGGCCCAGCAAACGCACCTTTGCGACATAGCAGCGTAGCTGTTCAGGTCGGGACCATAAGAAACAAGGGAAATGAGTCAGTATATTTGTAGCAATTTACTGAAGAGGGGCGGTGTCTGCTATTGACACAGCGAAGCGCCGATGCCCTGAGCAGAGAGAGGCCCCTCACGCTGTCGACACACCTCTTGAAATCAAAGTTGCCATTGAAGCAGCAACACGGTGACAGGCAGTGCCGAACTTAGTGATAGGGGCCACTAACTCTCACGCGAGTCCAAGCCACCACAAGGTGACAAAGCGCTGTACAATGGACGAGCCGCAACTGGATTAGTATGCGCTTAGTAAATTAACTGATTTCAAACAGCAAAGCATTACTCTAGCAACATTGTTCCCGTTAAGTGCGAGTTGGCTTCATGACGACCGCACAAGCCGCCTGCTCGGCATCATACCCACACATATACGTCCCTCACGCACACACGTGACCCCCCTACTGACCAGCCCCCATGCATCCATCGAGCGGGAGGAGAGAGAGAGAGAGAGATCATGCACAGGAGGCGTTGAGGACAGAGGTTGATGAGTTTGGGGCACCTAGATGAACAGCAGGCTCTTCGGGCGTCAGGTCAGGTCACAAGGTGCATGTCTCCATGCCGGTAGCAGATAGGTTGCAGGCAGCCATTGTATGTACGAGACGTCAGGTACGGTGGGCTACAATCACCTCTTTGCCAATGGCTCATGCGTTCATGGGGCCCTGCGTTCATGGGGTAACAACAGCTTCGTCGTCGCTGCGCAGTTGCTACCAGCGTCGGCGGACATCCCTGCTGCCTGCCCCGTGAGCAGCAGTGCCTCGGCAGTTAACACCGACGCACCAGCGGCCAGCGCTTGTGCCAGCAGCAGCAGCAGCAGTGGCGGAGACGGCGTTACCAGCAGCGACGCATCCCAGCCGGAGAGCAACAGCAGCAGTGGCAGCAGCGAGTGTAGCAAGAAGGACATGGCGGCCGCACTGCGCCTGCACCGGCTGTACGGACATCTTGGTTGGAAGGGACTGGAGCAGCTAGTGCGTGACAAGTTGGTGCTTGGGGTAGACGTGCCGGTAGCTGCGCTGCGCCAGGCAGCTGCGGGCGTCTGTAGCACCTGTGAGACGGCCAAGGCGACCAGAGCGCCTTTTCCCAGCCGCGGGAACAAGCCGCAACGTGCCCTGCAGCTTGTCCACTCAGACCTCTGTGGTCCGCTGCCTGTCGTGGGCCGTGGGGGCGCCCGACACCTGCTTACGCTGCTGGACAGTTCCACGGGCCTTTCACTGGTCCGTCCGCTGGCAACCAAGGACCAGGCGGGTGCAGCGCTGCAGGAGATGATAGCCCAAGTGGAGTCGCGCCGTTCTGACGTGAAGGTGTGTACGCTGCAGAGTGACAATGGAGGCGAGTACATTGCGGAGCAGCTGGAGCAGTGGCTGAAGGAGCACGGCACTGTTCACCACTACTCTGCCCCATACACGCCGCAGCAGAACGGTGCAGCAGAACGGCTCAACCGCACCCTTATGGACCGAGTGCGAGCCCTCTTGCAGGAAGCTGACTTGGCGGATACCTTCTGGCCTGACGCGGCCAACTACGCCAGCTGCCTGCGCAACGTCTCACCCTCTGCTGGCCGCGCCGTCACTCCGTGGGAAGCCTTCCACGACCAGAAGCCGGACATCTCGGACCTCCATGTCTTCGGCTGCCGCGCCTTCGTCCGCGTCCCTACTGAACAGCTGAAGAAGCTCGATCCCCGTGCAGAGGAAGGTACATATCTGGGGCCCGAGCGCCACACAGCTGCCCACCGCATCCTGGTTCACGGCAAGGTCGTCATCAGCCGTGACGTCACCTTCGACGAAGCGGTTCGGGGGCCCGCGTCCAGGAAGCCCGGCACGCTCTTCGACCCTTTGCCTGTCGCTGGTCGTGGTGATGGTGGTGGCGACAGCAGTGTCGGCGGCGGCGGCGGCAGCTCTGGCAGTGGCGGCGGCAGCGGCAGCTCTGGCGATGGCGGCAGCAGCGGCGGCGGCAGCTCTGGAGATGGCGGCAGCGGCGGCACTGGCAGCGGCGTGCACAGGCCTGTCACCCGTAGCCAACGTCAACCGCTCACACCCCCATTGGCCTCCGTGCGTGGCGGCGGCAGCGGCGGCGGCGGCGTATCATCCACCCAGGCAGTTCCACCGCTACCGCGCCCCACGACTAGCAGTGCCCTGGAGCCGCGGACTGATGAGGAGGCGCTGAGCGGCCCCGACGCAGCCAAATGGAACGACGCCAGGAGCGAGGAGATCGCAGCGCATCTGGAGAATCGCACGTGGGAGCTGGCGGTTCCTCCCCCCGGCACTCGCCTGCTGGCTTGCCGCTGGGTGTACAAGGTCAAGATGGCACCTGATGACAGCATTGAGCGCTACAAGGCACGGCTGGTGGCGAAGGGCTTCGAGCAGCGAGCGGGCATCGACTACGGTGAGCTGTTTGCACCCACCACCCGCACAGCCTCGCTGCGTGCCCTGCTGGCGCTTGCGGCAGCCAAGCAGATGCACATTCATCAAATGGATGTGAAGACGGCGTTCCTGAACGGCGAGCTGGAGGAGGAGATCTGGATGCAGCAGC